TGCGCTTCGCAGCAACGACGACAACAACAGACAAAGCCTCTAAGATGTAAAAACTGGCTGAACAAACCGCAGCGAATGGAATGAAAATGCAGAAGGACGCCGCAACAACACACACACACACACACACACACACACAAAGCTCTTCATTGAAGTGAAACGCTGCCCGATCGATTCAGCTGCTGAAGTCGCTCACTGGCGGCAACGTACCAGCTTGAATGCGGCACCATCAAATAGTCCAAAGCTGGACACTCTGAGAGCCATTCAAAATCTTTTGAGAGCTGCATGCAACCGCGCAGCAAAACCTTGTGTAGGTGCTTGAGGTGACCAAGCAAGGAGACGTTGGTGAGCAGACGGCACTGGGAGAGGTCCACGTACGCAAGCGCGGTACAACTTTCGAGGCCGTTGATGTCCTTCAAGCGAACGGCCCCGGTGACCTCCAACACGTGTAGCTTCCGACAGCTGCCGATGCCTGCGAGCGAGCTGAGGTGCAAGCACTGCGTCGCCCGTAGCTCCGTGAGCAGCGGCGACCCCCGCAACCACTTCAGGTTCTGCATGTGGCGGTTGTGCGTGATGCACACCTTCTCCAGCGACGGCAGCGGCGGCAGCGCGGCAAAATCCTCGACGCTCGAGCAGTTGAAAAGGGTTAGTTCGCGCAGCATCCGCGCGGCGCGGTGGACGAGGGGCGTCAACCTTATCATGTCCGGCAGTGATATGTCGAGGAGCTGCAGGCAGTCTAGCCCGATCCCGAGCCCGCCAGACGCGGCTCCCTCTGGCAAGATGAGGGAGCTCGAGCTGTGCTGGTGGAGCGTCAAGGAGCGCAGAGCCCCTGCCAGTCTCGGCAACCAGGAGATGCTGCGTAGCATGGCGCAGTGCTGAATCGATATCGCTCGCAGCTGCGTAAAGCCGCAGAAGACGTCGAAGGCAGCAAGTCGGTTGCAGCTCTCCAGAGTTACCTCCCGCAGTCCGGTGAGGCCGCGCAAGGCGTCCAGGTTGGTGTAGCAGCAACCGCTGAGGCTGAGACGCTCCAGGTACAGGCACTGCTGTATCCAGCGCGGGAGTGCGCGACGGAGGGAGGCGGAGATGTGCAGTTCCTCCAGCACCGGCGTTGCACCGGCGGGGAGCGGGAGCACTAACTTGTTCCGGCGAGGCCGAGGCGCGGGAAAGCTGCCGGCGCTTCCCTTCGCCGCCTTTCCAGCTTTTGACGCCGCTGCGGCTACCTTCGTGGCTTTCCTGCTTTTCACGGACAACGGCGCACGCGGGGCCGGTGGGGGAGGTGGAATTTTGCCGGAAGTCTCCGCAGAGTTCGGCGCAGAGTCCGTGCGAGTTTCTTCCTCCTCCACCTCCTCATCGTCGTACGTGACGAGCCCGTGGGCATCGTGGAAGATGGCGGCGGAGCAGCGGTTTAAATGAAGAACACGCAACGACGCGTAGAAGCGCCGCAGCAGCGCGATGGCGGGCAGCGAGACGGTCGTCACACGAACCGCCCGCAGCGGTGCGTTCAATGAAGTGATAAGCTGATTCACCTCCGCCTGCCTCCACCGCAGACACGACCGCACGTCCACCTCCACGATCCGCCGTGTGACAGACGGCGAGAGCTGCACGTCCCACAGCTCCGCCATGCGGTCCATCTGCAGCGCAAAGGGGGCGTTGGGCACTCGCAGGCGCCGCACGCCCGCCGTCGACCCCGCCCCCACCGATGCCAGCACCGCCTCGCCGACGTCTGCACTCGAATACAAGTACAGCCTTCGCACGTTCATTTCTTTCACGCGCACACAGCACACGAGTCGGGCCGCACCGGCAGCGGTGGACACCTCTGCCATGCAGCGGTCAACCCACCACATCCCAGCTTCCGCGGCCGCCAAGGCATTGCGGTGCGGCGCCAAGTCGTTGAGCGTCACCACCAGCACCTCCGTTGCATCCGGCGGGAGAGACAGACACACGTCTGCGCCGGGCACACGCTCCGCCTGCACGCGCTCCACCGTGAAGTCGCCAGTGCTGCTCTGCGCGACGGCGCCACGCCGCTCCGCCGCACTGCGCAGACGAGGGCCAGCCGCCAGCGCTGCATAGGGCAGCGACGTGGACGAGCGTGCCACCTCCTCGAAGATCGTACGCATTCAAACGTAGAGGAAGAGGAAGATCTGGGACGAGTCACACCCACACACACACACACACGATAAAAGTACAGGAAGACCAGCGCAGCAAACCGCAAAGTAAAACCTGCAGAGTCTGCGTCACGCACAGAGAGAGACACACACACACGCTGACAAGAGAACCCGCACTCGATACGCGTTGGGCGACGGCGGATAAATCTTGAGGAAGAATCTCCCACACAGACCGAAGAAGAAGAAGAAAGAGCGAGCAAAGCGCCGTAATAAACGCCTCCTTTTAGAGGCACAAAAACAAGCCAAATAAAATAGTTATATATGAATGGTGGTGGTCGAATGACGTGTATAAGAATCAAAGGAGAATGCAACGGCACAAGAGAGGTGAGGGATAAACCCAGTTGTGGCCGAAAAATGAGTCGTGGGAACAACACGAATGCAGCAGAGGGCACCAAAAAATGGAGATGGAAAGATACGAAATAATAATAAATAAAAAAAACTTGTGTGGGTGTGCGTCTTCAACGACAAAAGCTGCGCCGTGGTCCTCCAACCGTGACAACACAGGCGATACAAAACAACAGCTTCGGCGTCACGCGCAAACGAGACCAAGAGGTGGAGTCAAACAACAAAACAGTGGCACCACCAAGAAAGAAAAAAATATGGAGAATAAAAGTATTATCAAGACACGATTATCTTTTTAAAAGGGAAAAAAGAAATAACACTCAGAAATAATAATAGTAGAAAACCGAGATACAGATTCTCTGCTTCGCTGGTCCGCGCCGTTTTTCGTGCTGTTCAATAAAAACCGTTTACAACTCTAAACGCACTTCAATTCACGGGTGCGTTTCCAAAGAACAACAACAGAACAATAATGTGAAGGCCGCGTTAACGAAGGGGAATAAGAATAATAACAGTAAAAAGAAGCTTAACACACACGCCAAGACTGGAATGCAAAATAAGAAACAGGCAGGTAAGAGTGGTAACCGTAGTAATACTTATATACGAGAGAAGAAAAAGAAATAGACAAGAGAAGGTATCACCTTGATAACAGTACTGGTGTGCCCGGTGACGAGACGGGGTGTTTCAACCGTTTTTTTTCCTCTTCTTCTTTAATGTATCTCTCGTAAGAGAGGAGGACGAAGGAAAGAAAAGGAAAGGGCGCCTCTATTCGAAATCCTCCTTTGACCTTGCAGGTGCGCAAAGTACGAGTAAAGGAGAGACCAAAAACAACAGAAGAAGAAGAAAAATAAGATAGAGAAAATAGCGGAGCTGTTCTCTTCGCTCCGGCGGGTGCTCGTTCTCGTCCTCTCCCTCCCTCCGCGACGTCGCACAAAGGGGATCGTGAGAGAAAATAGAAACGAGTGCTTTCTTCTTCTTTGTTTTTCGCTCTTCGTTGTGTCAGTAACACACGCACTCACGTACAATACACACAAGCACACGTACACAAGAAAGTAGAAAGGAGAGAAGGAGAAGACAACACACCAATCAAAAAAAAAAAGGTCGAGAACTTAAACTTCTCGTGTCGTTGTCGTTGGGATACGTACGTGAGGTTCACGTGTTAAGCTCCTTGCCGAAGAAGGGGAAAGTAAAGTTACCAATGAATAAATATATATATATATATAATAATAAGAGTAGAAGAAGAAATTTTTTGGGGGTTTTTTTTTCTTGAGAGGCAGTATTACGGTAAAGGAGGCACAATTGCGGAAGCAAGAACAGACCATATAGATAAAGTACGTCGGAAAGAACACGTCGTATTTCACGTTATCAAAGAGCGGCGTCAAAAGGCCGCCAAACAAACAAACAAAAAACGAGTTGAAGAGAGCGAGGAAGATAAAGTAATAACAAAGAAGAAGAAAGACAATAAAAGGAAAGGGAAAGAACACGAAGAGAAATGTGAGGTGGTGCTTCCAGTGTTTGCGGGCGTGTGGGGAGTTGAGCCCCACCACGGTACGTCCACGGCGTTGGCAGCGGTTCACGGCGGAGAGGGAGGAGTAGAGAGAGAGAACAAGAGATGGACAGCAACAACAAGGTGGAAAACGTCGCTTAAACTTAATTATTTAAATAAATAAATAAATAAATAATAGTAATCGTATTAAAACGGCCAAAAGACAGCGCCTTCGAGCAGTGAAAGGGGAGAGGGAAGTACGCGGGTCGATGCGTTAAAGTAAAGTGGGAAAGCACAACTGAGAAAACAGGAGAAAACAAACAATCAAACAAAGAAAAAGGAATGAAAAAATGCCGACGGGCAAACGAGAATGGAAAAATGAAGCAGCTCCCAAGAAGTGAGCAAAACGTGAGCGTTGATGTGAGACGCAAACGACGGGGGCTGTAAAAGGGCTGTGAGGGGGGAGGGGGCTGGCCGCTCACGAGCTGCGACTGTTGTGTAGGAGGCTTTATTGCGAGATTACCACAAAGACAGAGTACCAGAAAACTCAAAAAAAAAAAAAGGAGGGAGGGGGACTTCACCACCACCACCGAAACCGAAAGAAGAAAGAGAAAAACAAACTAACAAAAAGAAAAGCCAGATCAACTGAGGAGAAAGAGAAATACACGGAGCGAATTAGACGCCTAGCAGCGTAGGCAGAAATAGTTTCTTACCTCAGTACCAGCAGCCAAAAGCAGGGGGAAAGGGGGATAAGACGCTTCGAGTTCAACCTGCTTCTTTTTTGCTGTTATCTGATTATTATTATTTTGTCTTTTCTGAAGACCAAGACCAACAACTATCGGAGTAAATAATAGAAATATTTAAATGGCAGGACTAATATAAACGCGCACAGGCGTGCTAAGCGAAAACTTCAAAAAACCAAGAAACAAATAAGAAGAGACTGAGTGGAAAATGTCAGATATAGATATACACCTGAAGAGGGGAAATAAGGCAAGTCTTTTAAGGATGTGTCGGTGTATTCGAGCTTATTGAGTTTGAATACAACACGGGCTGGGGATGACGGTGGGGAAAAACACACAAAACAAAACTAACAGAGCAAACGAGAAGCAAGAGCAACGACGCTGGAGCTGCGCAGAGGAGGAACTACAAGAAGTTTGAAAGGGAAAAAGGGAGAAACAAAAGAAACAAAAAACGGAGTGGTTGAAAAGTGCGGTGCAGACACGTGCTCGTCTGTTCTCGACTGCTGTTTTGGCTCCCTACTGCCTCACCTGACCGTTAAGAGAAACCAAATACCTTTTCTTTTGTGAGACGGAGTCGCGGACACGTCGAAGGCTTCTTATGCCGACCGCGCAAGCAGCCACAACACCAAAATAATAATAATAACGACAGAAAACACGTGAGAAGAGCCGCACCGATGTGCGATAAGTTCCTCTCGGTTGAATGACCGGGCGCAGTGGAAGGAAGAAAAACCAAGGTACACAGTTTCTCTCTTCCGCTGTCGCTCCAACCTACGGCGGAGTGCGTCGGACTCGTCCGTAAAGAGGGGCGAAAACAACTACGAACGAGGTGGAGGTACAGGTACACAGACGCGCACAAGCACACACACTGACAGGCACACAAGGAAAAGAAAGAAAGAAAAGAAAATGCGCGCGACCCACCAACCCAAGCCTTGCAATCAATGACCAGCGCACTCGAGGCGCAGCCCTCTTGCCTTTCTCTCCGTGGATGCGCTCGTCTGATGTGCCTCTGTAGAGGAGAGTCCACAACAGTTGCGCCGTTGGTTTGGTTTCCCTCCTACCTTGCGAGCTGCCTCCTGCGGCGGCAAAGGTTAAATGAGCTTCTCTTTTGCTGTGGTTGACGATGATCCGTTGGCTTGTTTGCCGCTGATCTCGCTGAATCGATTGACAAGTCCCGCGACGAGAGACGCTTCTACTTTTGGTTTACGCTGGCAGCTCTGCTGTGTTGTCCAGCGATTGCCGAAGCACCGCCTCGTGCCGTCCAACGTACGTGTGCGTGTATACGCGCCCCTCCAACAAAACTTGTATGAGCGGGGTATAGGACAGACAGTGCTGGACAGACGAGTGAAATGAATCTCAGCCGACTGCAGGAAAACAGGAAAATAAGAAAATTCAAACACCAACGTGGAAACACGAAACAGCAGCGGCGTTGCAGCTGTACCCGGAGCAGCAGAGGAAGAAAACAGAACTCAAACAACGACTTTTCCTTGTGGCTCTTTTTTTTTCGGAGGCGTCGGCAAGCGCGGAAGGAAGAGAAGGGAAAAGAAGAATTATCACTGGGTATACAAAGAAACACAAAACAAGAAGAAGAGGACACACATACACACACACACACAGAGGGAGGAAGGGGTGAGCGGCGGGGCAGCGCCCAATGCGATTAGATTCGAAATCAGCAACAGCAGCACGTCAACGAGGTTGGAAAAGAGTAGACACCGCGAAGGTGCAGAAAGATAAACGTCGAGGAGCCAACAAGTCAGAAATTCGAAGTGACAGAGTGACAGGTAATGTGGGCACACCAGCAACCAAGAAGGAGAATAATATAATGTTGATAGTCGAGGAGAGGAGGGAAAATAGCTGGTATGTCGAATACGAAAAGTACGAGAAAATACGAAAACAAAAGACTTCATAAATCAGAAACCACAGAATATATATAATGCAAAGAAGAGGTGTGATGCTGCGAATCACAGAGATAGAGAACGGAAAAAGTAAAAATATTCGAAGACGAAAGAAGAGGAAGCGAGCACCCACGCACACGCACGCACACGCGAAGGTCAATGGAAGCGAAAAAAAAAAGACAAGAAATAGGAGGGAAAATACGAAAAACAACGCAAAATGGTGGCTTTCGATCGCGAATTAACGGTGACGACACACGTCGAGTAAATTAGAGTTATATATAGATATATATATATATATATATGTTCAAGAAATTGGAGAAGGTAAAGTAACTTACAGAGAGATGCAGTCGACGGCTTTACTTGCTTGGGATGTATGTCACGGTGCAGAAGTGTGTATCAACACGTAAAACCAAACGAGAGGGGAAAAAAAAAGATCCAAATAAAAACACTGAAAAGCAAAAAAAAGAAGAAAGCGAACTGTTCAAAGCTCAAAAACTAAACTTATATTATACTACCTTCTTCCTCTTGCTGTTGTGAAGCAGGTCCGTGACGTCTTGTGCGAGTGCAAGTCTGCAAAAAAGAAGAAAAAAAAAACGGAACTGAATGAACTCCAATCGAGGTAGATATCGTTGCAGCCGCAGGTCCGCAAATATAGCGCACAGGCGCCGGAAAGAAGGACAGCAAAACTGAACCAAGCCAACACAAATCGCACGCAGCAACACACGGGTTTTTCTCTTTCTTTTCGCTGTTGATGCCACCAAACTCTTTTTTATTCCCCTTTCTTTTGTCCGTTATAACTTTGCGAAGATCCGGTTCTTTCCGTTCTCTTTTCCCCTTTCTTCAACGACGGAAAGTGGCAGTTGCGAAGAAACTAGGAGAAGAAAAAACCTTTGTTTATTTACAAGATGTTTGCTTTTGCTTATGCGTGCTCGTGCTTATGGAACAACGACGCCAACACGAACCGCAGAAACAACGTTGAAGCTCTATTTTTCGTCTTCAAAAAACAATTTACATATATACATATATGTATAACAAAACTCTGTACAGTTCACGTTGCTGGGCGATATCAAGGGGGATGGCACGAAAGAACGGGTCACACACCGGATCGACAGCACGTATACATCAACAAAACCGACAGTACGATTCGACAGGCTTCGTGGCAAGCCAAAAGATTTCTCTCCTTTTTTTTTTTAAGCACTTTCTAAGAAAGCAAAAGAAAAAACAACAACACGGACGGGAAAGAGAAGAGGAACACCCAGCAGGAGGTGCATTAAACAATGTGATTCATATAAAACAAGAAGAGATGGGAAGAAGGGAGAAAAAGATTTCAGACACCCTACACAAAACAGAATAAAACGAAGAGGTCTTTAAAGAAAGGAAGTTTTTTTTTTGGTTTTTCTGCTGTTAGTATTAGAGTTTCGCGTCTGGTGAGAACTCTCTTTCGCGGAGTGGCTCTGTGTTTGGTGGTGGTGGTGGTGTTGGCGCAGGCATAAGGCACGTATATAGATATTGAAAGCGATGATGAGAGGAGTGCGTGGGAGGGAGGGAGGAGGGGAGGGAAGAGGTTCATACGTCGTTTATTATTATTATTATTTTTACGGCGTGTTACAGTAACGATGGTACGATACGTGCAACAAGAGAAAGAAGGAGCAAGGATGCACGAGGGGGATGCGCGCAAGAGCGACGTGGAGAGGACGCGGACGCTGCCGTGGTGTTGGTACTGCAAGAAAGACCTTTAAAGCGTCCCTCCTCGAATAACACAGCGAGGTGTGTGTGTGTGTGTGTGTGTGTGTGTGTGTGTGCAGAGAGCCACCTGCTGCGGCAGAGGTGATGATGCGCTCAGCAAACTGCATAAGGTCGCGAGCACGCCAGTTTAAATATATTTATTTTGTGGAGGGCGTCGGCTCGTGTGTGCGCAACCCCCAAACATTCAACAGCAACAACAAGAAAACCAAAAAAAGCCCTCCGCGTGACCGACGGCGTTCATCTCACGCCCGCCCCTTCACCTGCGACTGCGCTCCACGCAAGGGGACACCAACCAGCAACGACGCAGAAGTGCAGGCGAGCAGGCGGGCGATCTCGCCCACACGCAGATGCGCATGTACCGCTCTATTGCTATCGGCTTTCTTTTACGTTTACACGGCAGCGGCGGTCACGCCTTGGCGGCTGGCGCCTTCGGAATTACCGCTCCTGCCTTTCTGAACTGTCGGCCGATGCACGAAAGCGGTGTCCACAGCAACGGTGTCGTGGCGGTACAAAACCGCATCTGCAGTGGCAGCAGCGGATACGTGCAGCAGTTCGCGACGAGGTAGTTCAGCAGCAGCCGCGGGGTGAGTTGCAGGCCGTACACGGTGGGGCCGACGTTTAGGTAGTGGCCAGTAGATGTGTGAAGGGCTGCCAGCCAGCTGCCGACGTCGCCAACGCCGAGACGGTGCGTGTGCAACAAGTACGTGAGGAAGAGCGTCATGGACTCGCCCAACACGTAGAGGTAAACGGTGAAGAAAAGGCCGCGCTCAAGCACGAGACGGTTAAAGCGGCCCGGCATCGGAGGCCGCGAAGGACCCGCAGACGACGCGGCGGTGGTCGTCGTCGCAGCCGCAGCCGACGGCGACTTCTTCGTGGAGCTCGAGCCTTTTGCAGCCGATTTGGCTGTGAGTTTGTTGTAGCTGCGCGCGTGCGGCGGAGCGTCGCTGCCGTCGCGGTGCGATCCTGTCGGCGTCGCGGGCCGCTTCTTGGGTGCCGTTGCCGCTGCCGCGGAACGCCGGTGCAGCCGCTCTGCCTGCCGGCTGGACATGCAACGCGAATTGAAGCGTAACCTCCCCATACGTGAGAAGGTCGCGGATGGGCTGAGGCAGCCGAACGCTCGCAGGTGTCGCAGCATGGCGCTGCACGATTGCGTTGGAAAAGAAAAGAAGAAGAAGGTGTTTCTTCTGCGCGAAGGACAAAGATGGAGCACGCGCTCTCGCGCCGCTTCTCGTGCGTTCCTTTCTTGACTATTTCATCGCCGTGGGGAAGAAAACGCGTAGTGCAAAACAAACAAAAAAAGAGTGGAGAAACCATTCGAAGGAAATCGTGTGGCGCGCGCGTCCAACAACACGTGGCGGCATTGGCACGAACTGCTCTGCGCCACCTGCTGGCACTCCACACGCACGCAACGGCAACGACGGCAAACCCGCCCAAGCAGACGCGCTGCACACGGGACGACGCGACCGATCAGATGCAGTAGTAATAGCAAACACCATCATACCCGGTGAGGGAAAGCGCTGAAAGTGGAAAGCTTTTTCGAAGCGGTGTGCGCATCGGAAGTTGAGCTGCAACGCACACATGCCTGCACATGCAAGGAGCAGGCGTACGAAGCTGTTCCTGCATCAACCATTGTCCTTCTTTTTCTTGCTCTATTATGTTGATTTACGGACGGAGTGAAGCAGCGACACACTCGTGATATTTTACTGTTGCTTGCAGTTTCCCTTCCTCGTAAGCTGTGCGCCACCACGCCACCTTTCTACCCTTCTCCCCTCTCCCCTTCGGCATCGTCGCGGCCCTCTACGCGAAGCTGTCCTCCGTGAACGGCTCGTCATCTGATATCTCACGCGACGACGTGTTCCAGCACTCCTCCAACTCCGCCAAGCTCGGGCCCTCCTCCGGCTCGCCGTACAGCACGCCGCGTATCCCGTTCAACACGGGCCGCAGCACCGCCAGCCGCGGCAGCGTATCCGGGAAAAACACCACCCGCTCCGCCCGGTTCTCCACAGACGACGAGAGGTAAAAGATCGGCTGATAGCGGGCAAAGGCGTCATGAATAACGAGCGAGCGCAGCATCTGCAGGTCGACAAACACTTTATACCGCAGCGTGTGGAAGATGCCGTAGGAGGCAAACTGCAGGCCGACGCCCCGCATCACGAGTACCTCCTCCACATAAACCCGCGAGAACGCGCTGCTGAGCCGCTTCGCGAGCAGCACTACGGAAAAGAAGAACAGCACGATCGTCACGGTGACGTCGAGCGCTGCCGCGTGCGTCGCCTGGGTGTACGAGGACGAGGAAGAGGCGGCGACGGTGGGCGTGGGGACCAGTGCGCTGCCGGAATTGTGCGTCGCGACCGCACGCGTGCTCGCTTTGTCCTCGCTGATCAGCGACGGCGACTCCCCCTTTGCTGCATCGAAGCCGGTCGCACCTACTCGAGCGCCAACGTAGCGGCCTATGAGGCTCGCCAGCAGCGACATCACCCACGACGTCGAGACACCGCCTCTACCACCCGCACCACCACCGCCGTTGCCGCTGATGATGTGGTTCCCTCTGCCCCTCATTTGCTGAGACGCATGCAGACGGGAGACGAGAACTAAGAAACATGCCACGGCGGTGGCCACGAGCACCATGTCCGCCGCGCCAAAGAGGCGCAGCAGCACCACACGCCAAGAAACAGGACACTGGTTGGGTGCGCCGCCCGCATTGAGGCCGGATGCACTTCGGCTGTGGTTGATGCCGTTGGCGTTGTTGCCGTTCAAACCTACGGTGGACAAAGTGCCGCCCGTCGTCGGACTCGCTGCGGAGGGCCCGTTGCTACTCGTACACGACGTGGTAGCCGCAGAGCCGGGTGCGCTGCTGATCGGTGAGCCGGACCGTGCAGACGCGGCTGCACCGCCAGCTGAAATGCTGTTGCTGCTGCGACTGCTGCTGCGCCTTGCGTCGTAGGGTGTAACCCCTCCCTCCTGTCGACACACACGATAGGCGCGCATCGCCTTACTATAATCCACCTGCTCCAGCCGCACCACGGCGCCGGTGTTCGTCACGTGGTGGTCCACCAGCACGGTTGTTTTGGGGGAGATAGAGGCAGTGATTCCTGCGCCTCCGCCACTGCGGTAAACGTTCAAGCCAGGGGAGAACGGCTCCGCAGTGCTCATCGGTGTTGTCGAGGGTTGTATGCTGGGGGGCGAGGGAACACGGCAGAGACGGGGCCGCGGCACGCCGTTGCCGGCGGTGACCGCACCGACTTCTGTGGGCCCTCCATTGCTCGCGTTGTTGGCTTTGTCGGGGTACACCAGCGGGTCGGGCACCACCTTGGAGCGACGCGGCTGCATGACGAGGCTTCGACGCAGCAGTAAAGCGGCCCCAAAAAGAACGTGACACGCACAAGTACTTTCAAAACAACAAAAAAAAGAATAAATAAATATTTAAAAGACGGGCGTCTCCACGGAGAAAGCCAAGGCAGTGACCACGGTAAACAGCCGCGCACGCACACGATGGGGCGTTCAATGCAATGTGCGAGACCGGCAGAAGCTAGTGGCCAAAGGCGAAAAAAACCTTCACTCGTCCGTAACAGCGCCAAAACAGAAATGGCCCCCACCAAAAGAAGAAGAATTCCACGCACGAGAAGGAGAAGGGAAAGAGAAAGAGAGAGGTTGAGCTCACGCACTTCAGGTGGGCATCATGAGGAGGAAGAGGAGGGAGGTGCAGTCCATAAGTTTGCATCACAGTTAGATAGCAGCGGTGTGCGGGAAGAAGCCACGGGGAGCGCTGAGAGGCAGCCGGTCTTTTTTAGCAAGTGCGTGCGTGTGTGTGTGTGCTGTTCAGTGAGGGATGTTGATTGAGCCTGGTAGTGTGTACTACACGCAGTGAAGCAGCGAGAACGGGGAAAGAAAAATATATATAACGGCGCTTGTGCACACGCATGAAGGCAGACGGCTGTGAAGACAGCAAGGCGAGCCCACACAGGAGAACAGGGATCTTTGGGTTCTCCAGAGACTGCCCCACCTCCCTCCCACATTCTCCTTCTGAATCCGCGCCTCAATCCACGCGTTCGTGGAACGGCGTGTGAAGAAAATCGTACAGCCGTGCAGCGTCCTCCGCATCCATCACCGTCGCCAGCGACGACTGCGAGATGGTGGCGAGACCGATCAGAGAGCCGCACAGCTGCATCACTCGAGGCGCATTTTGGTGGTGGATGCCGGGGAACCGCGACAGCACGCGGGCGGCGTAGTGCGCGGCTTCCCGCTCCGCCGCGGAGGCCGCCAGCCCGCCCGCCTCGCCCGCACTGCCGGGGTTCATCGCGCTGCCCGTGAGCGACGGATCGCTCGGGTCCGCGTTCGCCGTCGCGACGGATTTCTTGAGCGTCACCAGCATGCCAGCCGCGTGGGCCGGACTGCGCGCCCACACGTACGACACGCGCGGGTAATTCGCCATGAGCTTCGCGGTGCGGCCGTAGATGCGGCTCTGCAGCAGGCGGAAGGGAATGCCGCGGTGGAACTCGATGAGGCACAGCGGGTGGCTGTACTTGCGTGACAGCGCGGCGAGTTGGTGTTGAATGCGGCCGGACAGGACGGACTGGAGGTAATCCAAGACGCTCTTCCGCTCCACCGCGTATTCGGGGGAGAGGACGTAGTCGGCTGTGGTGAGAGTCAAGGGGACGAGGTCCACCCCGCGCCGGAATAGGTGGTACGGCAGCGTGGAGCGGAACTCGCGCTCGTCGAAGATGACGCAGGGCGGGGAGGCGCACGTGGCCGTGGTGCTTCTGTCGGTATAAAATCGACCGCTGAGCCGAGCGACGGTGCTGCCGTGGCGGACGATGCCGCGTCGACGTGCCATCAGCAACCCGCTCTCCAGCGCCTCCTCCGTCTGCCGCAGGGAGGACTGGTCAACGAGCAGCGTCCCCGTCAGCGTTGCCTTTGTGTGGGCCAGGCTTTCAAACGCCAGCTGCTCCGCCTGCACTGTTTTCTTGAAGTCAGCGTCGGCCAGGCTGGTCGTGATGAGCTGCACTTTGAGTCTTCGCAGACACGCCGCCGGCAGCTCGTCCTGCGCCATCTCCAGTTGCCGCAGGACGGAGAGCCGCTGAGACGTCACAATCACTCGCTGCACCTCCAGGCGGGCCTCCGCGGCGGGTGCGCCGTCTCCGCCGTCAGCGCTCGTCATCCTGCCCAGACACTCCGTTGGTGTGGTGGGCACGTCGAAGGCCAGCGCAGCGTGGGAGCCGTCCAGCAGCATCGTCAGCTCCGTCGCGGACAGCTGACCGCCGTCTAGTACCAGCACACGTGGAACGTCGTCTGTGGAAACTATATGTGTCTCCGCCGCAACGCCCTCCTCGGCCTCGTCTAGGAGCGGCCGCAGCGTCACAGCTCCGGCACGCACGCGCTCCACGGAGAACAAAAGTGGCGCTCGCTGCAACGCCGACGAAGGGGGTGCATCGACGCGCACAGGAGGACCGCGATCGTTGTTGCTGCTGCTCCCCTCCTCATCTAAACGTCTCTCCACACCGTCTTTTAATGACTTCGTGGACGCAGCAGCGGTGGCAGCGTCAGTGCTCGTATTCTGCGTGGGCAGCGGCGGCATCTGCGAGAGCAGCGCCTGATGAAAGGCCCTCGCGCCACCACCGCCAGCGTCGCCTTCGCCGTACAACGAAGAGGGACCGGCCTGAGTGGCGGACGTGGACCCTCCCCCTGTGCTCGCTGCACTGCGCTGCTGCAGCAGCTTGCGATGCAGTCGTGCGAGCCCGCCCTCCTCGCCGTCGTCGTCGCCGTCCGTCGCACTCGTTGTGCCCTCACCGCTTTCCTCCTCGCTGTCCGCCTCGTCGAGACCGACAGTAGCGAAGAGCGACGCCGTCAGCTCCTGCTGCTGCTCCTCCTCCTCCACGGCAACAGCGGACGCTTCACCCTCCGCATTCCTCCCTCGAGCGCCTCCTTCGTTCTCTTTCGCGGCCGCGGCCGTCGTGGTGTACTCCTGCAGCGTCACGCCGTACTTGGCCTGGTAGATTTGCATAAAGCGACGGAGCTGCAGCTGTTGGTAGGTGTCACAGTCGTGCGTGAGACGCTCCGTGTACCGTACGACGGCGCCAGCGCCGAACGTCAGGAGCAGCAATGTAGGAAAGCGCGAGGCAGATCGCTTGCGCGGCGCGTCGGCATGCAGCAACTCCGACGCCGCTGTCAGTGCATCCTTCGGGGGCGCCACGGGAGTGACCACCACAGACGCGCTGCTCTGTCGACGTGGCGCACGCCGTCGTAGTACCGTGCGACACCAACTCATCGCAAGCCGCACCACCACCTCTACATCCGCATCTTGCTCCTCCGTGTTCGGCATCAACTGCGGTGCCTGTGCTGTCGGGGCACTTCTATCTCCGTCGGCCGGCTGCACCGCACGTACGTCGTCGCCATCGCTGCTGCCGCTGTCTACCACCACGACGGTGGCAGCCTCAGCGGGTGATGGTGGCCGCTTTGATCGTGGTGCGGCACCGCCGTTGCTGCCCGTCGCAACGCTCGGGTACACCACCGTGCCAATTCGGTGCGTTGCGACCGTCACGACGTCGTGGAAAGAAGACGACAGCGTCCAGAGAGCAGCGGGGGGCCGCGCCGCCGTGCCGTAGACGCTGCGCTGCGGCTGGCGCTTCTCCAAGACGCATTCGAGCTGCAGCAGAAAACTAAAGGCCGTGCCGCGTGTCGCACGACGCAGCCGGCGCACATCGATGAGACTCTCCGTCAAGGCGCGGAAGGGCCATTGCGGTTCGTGGCGTCGCACGACGGTGCGCAGGTCGCTGTCGAGGTCTGAGAAGTCCACCGCAAGCGCCGCTGCTTCGCTGATACCGTTGAACCAAATCCCCTTCCCGTCCTTCGCCGCCCGCCAGCCTTGGCGGACGTACGCGGAAGAAGCGGAGGCCTCGCCACGGTTAGCGCTGCTTCGAGGGTATCCGCTGTAATCCACGTGTCCGTTTGACGCGGTCGCGGTGAAGCGCGCTCGGGGAAGGAAGCGCTGCGCACCAACATCTTCGTCCGCATCCGCGGCGGCGGCAGCACGACGAGCCGCGGGAGACCAGTTCGTATTCCCCTTGTTGGACCCGGTGCTGAGATCAACCCCACTGGATTCGTCACGCTGCTGCTGTTGCTGTTGCTGCTCGAGGCGTTGTAGCTCCTGCAGCGTCTCTAGCACGATCTTCGCCAGCAAGCCGTCCAAGGCGAGCACGCTCGGCGAGACGGGGGCGACGATTCGATCCACCTCCAACGGTCGCCCACGCGGATTGTCGTGGCGGCTCAGCGCCTCGAAGTGCCGCACGAAGTCGAGGCGAAACCGCGGGAAGAGTTGAATATCCCCCACGTGCAGCTGCTGGACGAAGCGCTCCGTCCCGATGTGATGGCGCTGCACGAGGCTCCGCATCAGCATCGGCGCATCCGACAGCACCACCACCGGCGGTACAGCGGCGCGTGGCTCCGTGCCTGTAACGCCGGCGATGTGCATCGCACCGCCCCGCAGCAGCAGCTCCGCGCAGAAGGCGGTCTGGGGAGCCAGCGCGTCCTGCACCCGGCCTCCCCCGAGAAAGGCGTGCGGCAGCATCAGTATGGCCATCCCGACCAGCCCCACGGCGAGACGGCGGTGGAGAAGGTCGGCGCAGAGGGAACGGCTGGTTAGCAGGACGACCGCACCGCGCTGGAAGACGGTGCAGCGCTCCTTCGTTCCGGTGCCCTCCTCGATGGCCACGACGGACGTTGAAGGAGATGCGGATTTGGCGAGCGACGAGGAGGGGGCGTCCGGCCCACCGGACTCGTTGGCAGCCCTCGTCGCTTCCAGACCTGTAGCGCTCTCCGTCTCTTTCCTCTGCAGGTGTCGCTCGATGGCCATCGCCATTCGCCTCACACTGCCTGGAGGCAGGTTCTCCGGCACGACGACGCAGTACACCCGCCGCGACCGTTGACGCATGCGTTGCTGCAGCAGCAGCGCCGCCACGACGCCTTCCACATCAAAGCCGACACTGAGGACACAAATTTGGACGTTGTGGTTGTCGGGCATCTCCCGTGCAGAGACGGCCGCAATGAAGCGCGAACACGTCTGCGTCTCGCTGAGCAGTTTGGCTGCATCCGAGTTGTCCGTCATCATTCCAATTTTCTCTTCAAGTGTGTGTGCGTGTGTGTGTGTACAACGCCTTCTTGTCCCGCTGCTGTACGGATGTGCTTCGTTGCGGACCGTATGATGCAGAGAAACGTTGGCGAGTGAAGAGACGCCGCTTCGCACTTCAGATGAGGCACCGAATCCTGCCGTTGGTTGCACCTCTCGCTCCTCGGCTTCTTCTACGTCTGATTAGAAGGCAAACGCACACACAGACATCTGTATTTATACATATAAGTGGAGCGGCTCTGTCGTGCAGCACCACGCCAGGCCCGTGTTTCTCTTCCCTGCCCCGGCAGGCGAAGAAGGGCAACAATGACAGACAGGAGGCAGAGAGAGCGGGAGATGAAATGGTGTCTTCCAGACGAGTGACACACACGGTCGAGGAGCATCGGAGGGTGATGGTGTGTGCTCCCCCTTTGGAGGGGTCAGAGGGAGCGAATGGAAGGCGCGTCCCTTTGCCTCTTCCGCTCCTTTGTCCCACAAGGCAGTTCAACGCTTCATACACAAACATGGGAAGGCGCGAGGAGGGACTTTCCTCTTTTAAGCGTTCTTTTTTTCTTTTGGCGGGCGGAGGGGTGCCTGCAGGGTCCGTGGGCTTCCATAGAAGCCGAACTTCGCACGACGTGACGCGGCAGACACAGGTGGAAGAGAATGCAGCGCGTTGACGCACACCAGCACACACCAGCTATGGCAAAAACAAACAAAATGAATGATGGAGAAGAGTCGGTTCCACAAAGTTACAAAAAGAGCATTCATTCATATACATACATATTTATACCGGAGAGAGGAGACGAAGAAGGGTGGTTCACAATTTACGTCAATGAAAAGAAAAGCAGGCACCAACACACACGCACGCACGATCTTAACTCCCTCGCGGTGGCGGTCGACACGCCATCACAAAAGATTCTCCACTCGCATCAGCACGTACTCAAAGTCGCGGAACGACAGCTGCTGCTCCTCCTCCTGCACCGGCACCTTCGAGAGCAGCTGCGGCTCCACTGTGTGCTTGCGGATGCGCATGTCTCGCTGCAGCTCACCCAACCGCTGAAAGGATAGCGGCTGCCCAAAGCCCTCGGAGGACAACACGAAGTGCCGCACGTCCTTCCAGCTCACCCGACCGCTGCCGGTGCTGTCGAGGCGGCGGAACAGCGCGAGGTACCGCGGCTGGGCGAAGATGGCCCCGAAGAGGATCGGCTCTACCGACTGAATCTGCCGTGACTCCACCTCAATCAGCGGGACGGGGGCAGCGACGAGGGCGAGGTGGTAGCGACCGCTGCCCGCCGCCGCCATCACCACTGCCCGGCGCGCCCGCTGTGCGACGTCGACGACGACGCGGTCCCGCACGCGGCACGGCTCCGCGATGCGCTCGCGTGTCTGCCGCCGTCCGCGGCCGGCGTTGCCGTCGTCCTCGACGTCGTCGAGCGCGTGGATGTCGCAGTGCAGCACGCCCACGTCCACCTCGCCGTCGCAGTCGTAGCGGATGGTGTAGGAAACGTCGTAGTCCGCTGCCAGCACGATCCCCATGTGCAGCACGTCTGCGCAGCCGAAGCGACGGGCGACGACGCGGGTGCCGACGCGGTGCGGTGGAACCGGCCCGTGCAGCGCCAGCGGCGGTGGAAGTTGCAGATCACGCAGGAGGTAGAGCACCTCGGGGAGGTCCTCCTGCTTTCCGGTGCCGGACACCGTCGCGCCGCTGGCACCCGCAGAGCCCTCGTCGCACGACGCCCGCTTCTGTCGCGACATCGACGCGGCACTTGCGGCGGCGGACAACACGCTCGTCACGTGCTCCGCCGCAGAGGATCGGGGCTGGATGGCCACGCTGCCGCGGAACGATGTTGGTGTGTACACCGGCGGCGAGGCAAGGGGCGTGGTGGCCGTCGACGGCGCAAGACGGATCGGCGCCACTCGATTCGAACGACGAGGGGCACGCAGCGAGGGCCCGACGCCGCTGGCGGTTGTCCCGGCAACGTTCATCATCACAGTCGGCAGCAGCCGCGACGAAGGCGAGGACGCCGACCCGAGCACGGACGCAAAGACGGTGGTGGTGTCGGCGCTGATTAAGCTCGACTCCCGCACCGCCGCACCGAAGCGGGCGCCGGTGCGGCGAAAAAAGCGCGTCATGTTCTGATGCGCGCGGTGGCCGTGCGACTCGCGGTGGATGCGCTGCAGGCACGCCGGGTCCACCTCGGCGGTGACGGGGGTGTCACGGCGGTGCGACAGCTGCGGTGCCGTGCGCACCCGCTCGAGCTGCAGCGGCTTCTCATTCGGGTACGGCATTACCCGGTACTGGTTGTCGTCCGTCACGCCGATCACCAGCCCTACGTTTGTGTGCCGGCCGACAACGCTGAAGATGTCCGAGGCGCGCTGCAGGCCAAAGGGCAGAATATTCAAGTAGTGGAAGACGCGCTGCCGCACGCGGACGTCAGCGGGGGTGCACGCGTAGAACGACGAAAGGCCCATCGCCTCGTCCTCGCTGTTCGGTGACGGCAGCAGCACCGCCGAGATCGAGGCGCCGTTGATGCCGGCGGTGGCGGCGGCCGCTGCTGCTGCGTCATCCAGCTTTGCGCCGCCCATCGCGTCAGACGGCTTCACCTCCGGCTTGGACTCGTACGCCTCCATCGCGGTGCGGTCAACGGAGACGCCGCGCAGCAGCGCCGCATCGCTGACGTGGCCGTCAATGCGCACGCTCAGCACAACGCCGAGGTCGGACACCGCGCAGCCGAGCATGACTCAATTGTAAGGTAAGAAAAGAAAACACAAGGGAGGGAGAGAGGCGTCGGTGTGGACGCCTGTGTGAGCATGCACCGATCTATCCGTAGAGGTAATGCGAACCGGTGCGGAGGGTGAACACGTGAGGCAGGGAAATAAAGGAAAAAGAAAGGGTAGATGATGCATTCTGTAAGCACAACCTTGCGTGCGTGGCCGGCGAAAGACACTTCCGGCACAATCAGTCTAACTGGAAGAGAAATCCACAACACAAAACATTTTTGTGAGGCGACGCGAAACGACACACATACAGCAAGAAAACAGCGCGTTGTGCAGTTCAGCTTCCGCTCGTGTAGCCCCCGTTGAAGCGGTACGCAGCGCGCGCCGCGGTGAGTTGAACAGGCTGGAATCCGGAAGACTCATTCCCTGCAACCCCCCTCTCTCCTTCGTTCAGTTCTCCTTTTTTCGCTTTTTCCCTCTAAAGAGTAATAATCTAGTGATTGCATGTACAGAAGAAAGATATAACAAGTTATAAAAAAGAAGAAGGATGGAAAGCATGTATAACGGCACAAACGCGTACATCACCCAGAGAAGGAACAGAAACACACGCGCACAGGCTGCCGTGCAAGCAGCATACATTTGATACGTCAAAGCAACGGCAAAGTCGAGCAGCACGCCGGCGCCACCAAAAATCATCCCACCATTACGTTGCAGAGAGGGGGAGGGGGGGGGGGAGGAGGAACAACTCTAATGGCAGGTTTGAGTGAAGAGACACAAACGCACAGGGAACAACAACACTACACAGAACGCCTCATCAATCAAGCGAGCAAATATATGTATATATATTCTTTCAAAGGGGGAAAACACCAACGAGCGATACAAAGGAAACAGAAAAACGGCCAGGAGCTCTATTTGCCGCGCTCCCACACAATAGTCAAAGGAAGAGAAAAGGAGGAGACGTCGTTTCATCGACGCCTACGCGCCGCATTGTGTGCGGTCGCGCTGCGGCCGGCGTCGCGCTTGACTCTCCAGCGCGACCGGGGAAGGGGAGGGAGAGAAACAAAAGGCACACTGGGCTCATCAAAGAGGAGCGCTCTTATTCTTCTTCCACTATCGATCTCGTTTGCTGACTTGCCCACTTCAACTAACGCAGGAAGCTCATGTTCGCCACATCAAAACAGAACGACAGATCACACGCAGCTCAGATGGCAGAGCGGCTGTTGAGGCGAGTAAAACCGCCCGCAGCGTGCGCGGGGCCGGGCAGCGTTCGCGCCTCCCGCGATGCCTTCCCAGCCGTTGCCGTGCCACTTCGGGTGCCAGTGTTTAAGCGCACAAAGGCTTTCCCCTTCACTCCACAAGCACCCTCAGCCGCGGTGGTTGTCGGGGTACCTGCCCCGCTGGCGGTGCCGGGGCGACGACGCGGGGCACTAGAGCGGCCGGCGAGCGCCATTCCACTTGGCGCCTTCACCACGGGTGTGCTGGACACGGAGCTGAGCACCCCGCCATCACCGCTCGTGCGCGTCGCACCGCCGCTGCCGCTGCCGCTGCCTCTCGTCCGCGAGTTGCGCTGCTTCGGGCTGCTCACACTAGAGGACGACAGCACCGGTCGGACACCGCCGCCGCTGCGCACACCGCCGTTGACGCCGTGTGTTGCTGCCGCTGCTGGAGTGGCCGCTGTGGACACACTCGCGATGATATACGGCCGAGGCGTGCGAGGCGTCGCGGCTGTGGGTGCTGCCGCCGCCACGGCAGAGTCGGTGCGCGACATCGCGGATGGCGTACGGCGCGCTACGCCGACGAGGGCCGGGGCCGGGTCGACCGTCGTCCGCACGCCACCCGCTGACCGCTGCTGCGGCTGCTGCTGCTGCGACGTCGGCTGCCGCAGTGGGTGGCTCGGCAGTCGCTCGAAGGGACGGGGGTTCGTGGCGGCGCGTGTGTAGCCCGTTGAGAGGCGCCGAGGACCACGCGCAGCAGCACCGGCACCGCCGTTGACGGGGGCGGGGTTGCGCGTGGCTGTGTTGGTGCGGTGCAACGGAGAGGCGGCGCCAGCACGACTCACCGGCGCATTCTTCCGCGCCGAGGAGAGAGGACGCGCGTCTTGACGCCACACGTTGGGCCCCGTCGATGCAGCGGCCGGATGATGGGCGAGACCGGCCGGCGTGATCCGCGTAGTAGCCGGATACCTTCCTTTGCCGCCATAAAGGTAGGTGCCGGTGGCGGTGCGTGCAAAGGCGCCGGCGACAGCGCTGTGCGGGTGCTGTTGCACCGCCCCGTGCTTCGCCGAGGAAGACGATGCAGCGACGGCCGCCATTGCGCCTCTGCCAAAGACGGCAGCGGAGTTCGTGCGGGTGAAGGCGGCCGTCGCCGTCGCCGAGCGCGCGAAAGCCGCGGCGGAGTTAACGCGACAAAACGGCAGCTGGCCGCCGAGTTCGGTGTGCGATGCGGTGCGCTTCAGCGGGGAGGCCTTCACCGCCAGACCATAGCGCGAGTGCGTGCGCTCCATCGCCGTACCCGCCGCGGGAGCCGCCGCACGCGGCTGGGGAAGACCGCACAAGGCAGAGGCGGTGCGGACCAGCTTCGTCGTCTCCGTGCGTGGAAGCCCGCGTCCATCCGGGCTGAGCGGGACCCCAACGAGCCGCGTGCGCGAGGACGGGGTGCGGGTGAGCTGCGCCGTACCGCTGTTTAGCCGACCAAAGCCCACCCCCCGCGTCGTGGCGGAGTTCTTCCGTGCGAATGGCGCCGTCGATGAATTCATGCGGGCCAGCGAGCGGGCTCCAGACGGGACGCGCTGCAGCGGCGTGACGGTGCGCGAGTTCAGTCGAGCCAAACGGACGCGGGCATCGTGCACGGGGCCCACGCCGCCGAGGGGGCGGCCGGCTGTGCGGGTGACCAAGGGGGCGTGCTGCCGCCGCATCGGCCCACGCGCCGCGGCCACCCCGCCGTCACCACCGCCACCGCCGCTGCTGAACAGACTAGGGAGTTCGTACATGAAGGGCGAGTCGCCCACCTGCCCGCTGCGCCGGCCGCTGCCGCGGTACAGGTGCGGCGCCGGCATCTCCGCCAGACTCCCACCGGTGTTTCGCCGGCGGCTGCTGCTGCCGCGGCGCACGGTAGCACGCGCGTCGGACAGGTCGAGGGCGCGGGTGGGGGTGAAGTCGCCGCTGAGGCCGCTGGTGCGACGCTCGGTACGACGGCTGGACGATCCAGCGGCCGACAGCGGCGTGCACGGCTGCGTTCCACGTGGAGTGCGGAGGCTGCCCTTGTCGTTGTGGTTGCTGCTCTTGAGCGTGGGACGGCTGTTGCGGGCGCCGCCCAGCTCCATCACGCTCGAGTCCCTCGCCTCCTCGCCCCCCGCGGAGGAGTCTGGGGAGACGGTCACGAGGACGTCCGACTCGCGTGGGAGGTGCGTCTGGCCCGTCCCGACGGCCGCCCGATCGTCCAGAAATTGGGCAAAAGTTGGGAAGCGCGGTGCGGGGCTCTCGCTGCGGCTGGAGCGGCTCGAGGCGGGGCTGAAGCTGCGGCCGGAGCTGCAGGGCTGCCCGGTAGGAGTGACGGACGTCGCCGTGGCGCCGCTGGTCAGGGAGACCGCCTCCGTCTCGGCCGCCACCGACGCGTGAAGGTCGCTGTCAACATTGACGTTGTTGGTACTGCGGTGGTGGTTGGGTGGCGGCTGATGCAGCACCTCTCGCTGGAAGGCGGCATGCCCGCTCGGTCGCACGTGGGGGGACGCACTCACCTCCTCCGTTGTAGGCCGCGTCGTTAACGTGCTGCGTGGCGTGACGTTCGCGTCGCTGACGCGGTAGATATCCTGCACGGCGGTGCAGCGGTCCTCCGCACGCGAAACGGGCTGCTGCTGCGGTGGCGGCTGCGTGTGCGCCAAAACACTGACATCGTCCGCGCTGCTCTCCGCAGAGTCGCTTCCTACTTCTCTGTTCGGCGCAGGCGAGTACTCGACCACACCGACGGCGTCGTCGCGGCGCAGCACCTCCGATCCGCGCGGCCGCTGCGGCGACTCGCTCACCTGCACAGCATCGCCCGACATCAGCAGGGAGTTCTCTTTCCCCCCTGTCGCTGCGCTCCCGTCCACGGTGTGCAAACGATCTGCTGGCCGCAGGAGGGAGGCGTGCTTCGGGTGCGAGTAGGGCGACTGGTGGGCCGCGTTTCCATGGCTCGCCGAGAGCGCACAGAGACCCGTGCTGCTGGCCCCGCGCTCACCGGACGCACGCAGCGCCGTCCGCGACTTGGAAACGGCAGCAGCAGCAGCAGGCGGCGTCGGCGAGTTGGCAGGGCGGAAGGGGCTCAAGACACCACCGCTGCCGGCGCGACTGCCGCTGGGGCGTCCGCCTGCGCCGATCGTCAGCGATGGCCGCGGCGACGACACTGCGCGGTACTGCTGGAGCGTAAAGCGGAACATCGACCGCATCAGCCGCTGCCCGCGTGGGTCGCAGAACTCCACAATCTTCGACACAAGGCGAGGTCCCATCTTCGTCCTCTCCAGCAGCCACATAAACGACTTCGGTCCATCGCACACGCAGCACACCCACGGCGGGGTGCCGGCGATGGCCTCGCGACACTGCGGACACGTCGGGTACCCGCAACGGCGGCAGCACGATTGCGCTTCGTTCGAGTCCTCCTCTAACGCGGAGAAACGCTTGGAGCAGCGCTGGCACTGCAGCTGCGCGACGCCGGAGCCTCCCGTGCTGCGGCCCACGGTGCCAGAGACGCGGCCAGAGCGACGTGCACCAGCGGCGGTGTCTGCCGACAGCAGTGGCGCTGCCGTGTCCTTCTCTGCGCTTTGGAAGAGCACCGAGAAGCCCTTCTTGCCTTTAAACATGGACAACATGGTGGGCGGCAATGGGGGAGCTGAAAGAGGAGAGAGGGAGGGAGGGAGGGGAGAAAAAAGCGAAGAGGAAAACTCGCAGGTTTCCCTTTGTCCCGTTTGCGAAGAAGGCAAAACAATGCGGTGGTTACACGTCTAACTGGACTGCGTGGCACGAGAACAGGCTACGCATCGAAGAAGAAGATGTGAAACGTGGTGGTGAACTCTAAGGCGAAGAGGAAGTGCTCTAAAAGAAATGTATATATAAGTGCACAACGGTGTTGGTGCGTAAATGTATATATGTAGAACGAATGCAAGGAAGGCAGTGATTTTGCCGCCGGTTTGGGTGTGTTGGCGCGCAAGCTGCAGCCGCGTCGAATTCAAGAAGAGTATAACACCTTCACAAAGCTGTGCGCACCGACTTTCTAAAGAAATCAACAGGGCAGCACGGGAGGAGAGTGCAAACGTCAAACGTGTGCCGAGACGTCAACAGAAAAAGAGCGCGCAAGGCAGGAGGAGAAGTGAGATCAACACCACCAGAAAAGAATGCAGCGAGGATTACTCTTGGAGAGTCCATTGCTGAAACCGCTGGAGGAGACGACGATGAAGGCGTCCCGCCGGCCAAACGCCATCAGAGCATTGTGAGGTGTCCAGGGCAGCTGGAGCTATTGAATCGGGCACGTGCATTTTCTATTTTTTTCTTCTTCGCCTCTTCTTACAAGCCGGCGCCCATCTTGTGATGCGCAAGGTGGACTGCGCGCGTCAACGACCGCGGAAGCGATCCATCATTGCTCCTGCTCCGTCAAGGCGTTGTAGCGGCTTTGATTGTACGAAGCACAACGAAGACCGTACAAGAAATAACAGTAATTTGTGGAAAAGAAGAAACGCTGTGAATCGACGGCGCCGCAGACGACGTGTGGAGACCACCATGAGACAGCCTTCTCCTTCGGCGTCCAACGCCACCATTGCATACACGCACGCACCTACGGGCTCTCATGCGCGTCCTCAACTCTGCAGATGCTCTGCCACAATTCGGCAAAGAGATCTCAACACCTGCGCATCTGTCCTTCATTGGCCTGCCGGCAAAACACACATGCGCGTCACGTGGACGCCACAAAGGAAACCACAGCAACAGCAAAAAATAGTAACACCCCACGCGCGTCGATGAAGGCCAAAACCTAAAACCACGTGCCCCACATCAGGGAGCGGCGGCCAAACGCGCTGCCCGGCCGCACCGCTAGGCGCTCCGCAAGACCCATCAAATAATTTTGCGGTGGGCGGTACGGCTCCGCGGGCGTCAGCGCGGCCTTCGCGCCCGCCCGCTTCGGCACCTGCAGCACCGGACTCCACCCCGATGCCTTCTCGGAGCCGAGCCCGGCGAAAGAGGCCAGCGACGGGCGGTGCTGATAAAACTTCTCAAACGGCCGCGTCAGCTCATTTGCAGGCCTGTTCGGACGGAAGTAATAAAACAGCGAGAAGGCGCCGTCTTGCGAGGCGCTGCTGGCCTGCTGCAGCGACGACGTCTCGGTCGTGTTCGCCAGCACGCCCTCGAAGTGCAGGGCCAGACACAACAGACGCAAATCCGCAGACGTGCACATCTCTACTCGCTGTATCGGGGCGATGGTGTGGTGAAGACGGCCGTAGTACTGCAGTGCCGACGGGTCTGCCACGACGTAGGATGTGAAGCCCGGTGGTGCATGTCGGCCCGCCTCGCCGCCGATCAGGTACAGCATTCCTGGCAGCACGCGCAGTTGCTCTGCCTCTGGCACGTGGAGGTGCGACGGGACGGTAAGGTGGGGTACGCTCGTGACGGCCGCCAGTGACAGCAGCTGCTCGTAGTTGGGGGCGAGATGGAGATGCAGCTGCGTTGTTTCGTGGTTGATCACCTCCCACGGCAGCTTGTTGTAGGAGACCAGCGAGGGGTACTTGAGGTTGGCGCGAAAGCTGCGCGCCAGCGTGGAGGAGGTCAGGCGAAGCATGACGCTGCTGCAAGAACAGAAGAAGAAAAAAAAAAGAGTTGTAAAGAGCCTAATAGTGGTACTGGGAGCTTTGTGAGAGCTTCCTTTCGATCTCAAGCACAGCCAGCGCCCGCTCAGTGTGGCGATACACGGCGGCGGCAACAATTATTACTACGCAACGCTTCCGAGCTGAAAAGTGGAGGTTGGCGATCGTGATGATAACAGCGAGTGGAGAGAACCGGAGGGGGAGAGAGGCAGCGAGAGCAGAAAGCGATGCCCATTCAGCAAACAAAAAAGAATGAAACATGCGTCTGTGTGTGAAAGGGAGTCTAATACGCGCCACCTCTTCAATGCGGACTGAGACGGCGATGAATGCCTATGTTATGCTGATGTGGAGAGCCTCGCACAGGTGAAAGGAAGGACAACGTACAGCATCAGCCCCTCCCATCGGGGCGTAGATCGGCGCCTGCTTCACGGCTTGAAAATCGTCGCATCGGGGTCCGTGCTTCATGGCGGGTGGTCCAGCGTCACCCGATCTGATCTACTGAAAAAAAAAATGCATTTATATCTAAGAAAAAAAAAAGAAGGAATAATAGAAAATGTTACAGAATGAAGAGTGGAGCAGCACCACCAAAGGACAGAAGAGCTTCTTTTGTTCTGCGTCCTCCGCGCACCTCCTTTACGCACGGTAGGCCTCCTTGGAAGCCTCGTTGCTCACGTCGTATGTCGCCTCTTCCTCCGCCTCCTCCTCCTCTCCAGAGCCTGTGATGGAGGACAACGTGGATGAAGGAGCGTCGCGGACACCAGAGAGGATGTCCTCGATTAGTTGCATCGGCGGACTGTCCGGCAGCCGTCGTGCCCTCCCGCCACTGGAGGGCCCCGTAGTGGACCCGTCGGGCTGGCGCTCACGGCGGTGCCGAGACAGCAGGTCAATGACAGCGCGATGGCGCATCAGGGCGTCACGCAGCTGCAGCACTGTGCGGCGAAGCGTGTCGCTCTCCTCCTTTGTGTCGTCTAACTCACGCCGCACATCACGCAGGTTGGATGTCTGCCTATCTAATTGGCTGCGCAGGGCGTCCTCCTGCGGGTTGGGCTTCGTCTCTGCCGCCGCCTCCTGCAGCTTTGCCTCCGCGTCACGCAGGCGCGAGATGAGGTCGGCGTTCTGCGCCGCCACGCGGTCAAAGTGCGTTGCGACCTCATTCTTCGCCTCCCGCTCGCCCCTCGCCTCGACACGAAGCTTCGTCAGCTCAGCCTGTGCATCCATCAACTGCAGCTTCAGCGCCTTGTTCTCTTGTGACAGCTTCTCCAGCAGCGCGAGCGTCTCCAGCATGTCTTTGCGGTACGCCGGTGGAAGACGCACGACAGGGGTCGGCGGTGTGGGCCGAACAGACGAGGGCTGCTCCCTACTGTGTGCGTCATTGAGCTTCGAGACGCCCTCACGCTCCATGGTGGCACCGGCGGCAGCGTCGTTTAGCAAAGCGGCCACGACGGCTTCCTCGGATGACGTCAGCTCCGCCAGTAAGTTGGCAACGCGCGTGCACATGTGCCGCTGCTGCCCCGACGTCCACGCCTCCACGTCGCTCGTGGTGGGGTTCAGCGAGCGCAGCAGCCGCAGTAGCCCGTCAGCTACCTTCACGGCGGCGGACTCGCCGGACGACGCTTCTTCAGCACACCCGGCGTGGCGGCGCGACGGGGTCCGGGTGGCCTCAAATGCGGTGATAAGCCGCAGCACGCCTTGCTTCTTCTCGATGAGGAACGTCACCCACCTCAGCAGCTGGGCGGCCCAGAAGGGGCTTGGCGGATGGGCGACGAGCTCTGCGGCGCTGGGGGCGAGGCGAGATGCCGCTCCCGAAGGCGGCCCGCGGCGACGCACCGCCTGACCAGAAGACGGGTGAGGAGGACGGGCCTGCTTTTCGGGTGTTACCTTGCCGGCATCAACGGGCCTCGCAGGTGAGGTGGTGGTCGGCGTGGAGGACTGCGAGAGCGGCGCCGCATCGGAGTTGGTGTTGTCCTCCTGCTGAAGGAGGGAGGCGAGTTGGTCCATCTCCCGCAAGAGCTGTGCGTACGTCGTCGGGGTGGGCGGTGAGGCGGGGACGGCGCTGGCGGCGGTGCTCGTCGTCTCCAGCGGGGCGGCAGCTACCGGAGAGAGGGACGGCGGAAGAGAAGAGGAGGACGAGCACGTCGACGGCGGTGAGGGAGGCGCGGCTGTGATCGGGGCTGCAGCAGTTGCCGGCACTGGTGGTGGTGGCAGCGCTGGTCTCTTCGGCGGCGGCGCGCCCAATAACGCCAAGAGGGACTGGCACTCCTCTTGGAATGCACAGAGGTAGGGGGCGGCCTCCGCTGCGCAGACGACGTCCGACTGCACCTCCACCGCGGTGCCATCCACCACCGCTGCAGTTGCCGTTGTGGCTCGTGTAGCTCCTGGTAAGGAAGCGGCATTGGGCAGTCTCCGCACCCGCTCAATGTCGCTGTATCGAATGGTGGAGGTTGGCGGATGGTGGTGCTGGTGCTGGGACGGCTGCGGCGCGTACAGCGGGGCGTTGGTGCGGGTGGACGCCGCAGAGAAGACGGAGACACCGGCTGGGCGGCGCTGCGCGAGTGCGGTGTCGGGTGTCGGCCACCTCGCACCCGTTGCGCAGTGGACGCCCCCTGCAAGCGCTGGCGGGGAGGCGGCGGCAGCTCCTTTTTGCCGTGCGACGTCGTACATCACCGCAGCCCGTAGAAGCCGGAGATCGGCATCGCTGGTGTTGGATGTCCTGCGTGGATTGCCGTTGCCGCTCCACGTTGAGGATCCATCCGTCTTCACCGGCACGACGGAGAGGGGCGTGTAGGAGGGGTAGCTCAACTGGGAATACGGCGTCGAGTACTGCGGAGACGCCATCGGCACAGCGCAGGACGCGTGAAAACAAGAGGGGGGGGGGGTGAGGGGAGTGAATGGCTCTACGAGCTGATGTTATCACGACAATGATCGTTGTGTGAGAAGGGAAGCTTCTAGTTGACTACACACTCGTCTCAGCTGCCAACAAAAAACGGGGGAAGAGGGGGGGGGGGAGTACTCACAGTGAAAGGAATTCTCGTGAGTGACGCGCCTCTAAAAACGGAATGTAAGCTTCATAACGTGAAAGGACAGGAGGGAGACAGGAGACGGCGCAAAGAGGGAAATAGGAAAAGGAAAGAAACCGAGAACAGCGCTCATTGAGAGAGTGATGAAGTACTTTCACACTCATTACACCGTAGATCAAGATAAGCCTGTCTTCCTTCGTTGCTCCTTATCCAGCAACCGCGGGGCGGGCGTGCGACGCGGACTGCGGGGCAGAGAAAGAGACAACAACGCCTCATCGCCGCACCCACATATCTTCCTCCGCTGAAGGCGTGTCGCAGCAACGCAGGGGCGCTACTGCCCTGCCCTTGTATTCACTTTGCATGATGAACGAGTCCCATTTGCCGTTGTGGGGCGGGAGCTAAAACCAACAGAAACAAAGGACGAAGAAAACAAGAAGTAGTCTAGACCACTGAGAGTGAAATGAAAAGAGTCGTAGATGAAAAAACGTTGTTGCGAGAGTGAATAGCAGATTTCCTGTGTGTGTGTGCTCACTTACAGAGAGCACGCAGACACATGCACACACACGGGGAATATACATACATGTACACGCCTCTAGGTGACAGACAACGCACCGGATCGCCTGCAGATCCACGTATCAAAGAAAAGGGAAAAAAAAGGTCTTTTAATGAAGCGTCGTGCGCACTTCATTGACAAGCAGAGTAGAGGAGAGCTCCATAGAAGGGAAACCGGTGTTTGCGTAAAGGGGGGAGGCAATCAGAGCAGGGCAGTTTTTCTACACAAAGAAACAAGACCAAAGAAATAAATAAATGATCGAAATGCCGAAGCTTGTGAAGGCACAACCACCTTCATCCCTTCTTCAAGCGTGTTGAGTTGATTGAAGACGTTGATGTGTCGCCGACCTACACTTGCTTCACCTGGTTTGCAGGATCGGCGTCGTTACTAATGCGAACGTCGCCGGTTGCGTCCTCATCGTGTTGCAACGGGCCGTTAAACTGTGACATGTCCTGCGCAAAACTCGAAGACATCGACTGGTGCTCCGTCATGAGTTTCCGCAGCTTCGGACCCGTCGCGTACTTGATATACTTCCCTGGCGCCGGACGCAGGCGCTCAAGAATGTCGCGCATCTGCCCTTGTTTGATACCGCGCAGGATATCCTCGCGGCAAGCGAGGAAGACGAAGCACAGGGCGACACGTTGACGGGTGGGGGCGGGGGTGCCGGCTGCGGCAATGGGGGATGTTATGTGCGCCGACTCGTGCGTCTCAGCCGGATCTGCATCGCCCACGGCGAGCGGTGCCGTCTTCGTTGGGCTGTCCCTCTCATCAAGGTTGTCCGTCGTGCTGGGGGAGGGACTCGCTGCTCCGCTGCGTTCTTGATCGCTGATCGTGCCGCGCTGCGCGTCACTGGAACCGCTGGCCGGGGCCGTCAGCATCACCACATCCCGCACGAAACCGACGCGCAGCTCAAACATCTCCTGCACCTGAGCCTCCGACGTCAGGGCGTCTAAGTTGCGCATAAACCAGCACAGCTCGCTGTACCGCTTCGTGCGCTCCTCAGAGGGCAGGCTCCCCTGCAGCTTGCGCAGCTCCTCCATGAAGCCAATGTTCGGTTCCACGCAGGGCCGCCGCGTCGCCACGTACTTCATCGCCTCCGCTACGGACCAGCCATTGGTGTAGATTAAATACGCCAGCACAATCGTGGCGGAGCGACTGCGGCCCTTTTGGCAGTGCACCAACACCGCCGGGTGCGAGGTCTTGCCGGCGGCCACGCTGCGGTAGTGCCGCTCGCGTACGTTGTTGATGAGGCTGCGAGTAGGCTCGAAGAGACTGGCGATGTCCGCCGTGGCGGTGTCGTCGACCTTGAAGGTGAAGACCTGCAGCCGCTTGTCCACCGACCAATACTCCTCCTGTGACACGTTGATGATGTAGCGGATGCCGTGTTTGGCGAGGAGGTCGGGGTCCTGCGCATCCTTTACGCTGCCCAGGTAGAGAAAACTAAGAATCTGCGTAGCGGGCACGTCCTCCGCCGCCGCTCCGTTGCCGCGCTTGGAGATCAGCTGCGGTGCGGTGGGGTCTAGGCTGTGCAGATCCACCACGTTCGCCCTCACCGGTTCGCCGCCATTAAAGGTGCTTGCCAGCGAAAACAGTGCGTTTTGCGGGCGGCCTTTCTTTTCCTTCAGCTCCTTCTTCTCTTTCTTCTTCTTCTTTGCCTCCGTCAGCGGGGTGCCTACGCTATTCTCATGTGCGTTGGGGAGCGACGGAGAAGGCGGTGCAACGCCTGGTCGGGTGGCAGCGACTGCTGACAGATTCACGGCGGCGACGGGAAACGCGTTCTGCGATGAGCTCGCCCGCAGCCGGGGGGTTGAGCGTGTCGACCCGGAAGGCGAGCTTCTCACGCCGGTGCTACTGTTTGTGTTGGTACGTCGCATCATCGTGGATGACACTACCTGCACCTAGTTTTCGGCAAAGATGTTTTTAAACGGGAAACCAGTTGTTCGCGGGTGTGTATGCATGCGTGGGTACGTGACTGAAGCAGGGCTGCAGAGCCGTAAAACAACCGTCACCTACGCGTGTGAGGAGCGGAGTACTCCACACCGCGAATCTGTGTGCGTAAAAAGGTAGAAAGGAAACAGAAGAGCGAGGACACGCAGCGAGCAACGACGACAACTGTGCCGTACTGACAGAGCTTTGCTGCTCAGCAGTGAGAGAAAAAGAAGGAAGAAAAACCGCGGCTGGATTCACCGCAAGAAAGTACAAAATAGGAGGAGAAAAGAAGGGGGAAAATGCGCAGTCGCGCGGCACCACCGACGAGACAACGGAGGCAGCGGGACGGCGATTTGGTGTTTGCTTTTTCAGGAAAAAGCGGAGAGGGAAACCGACGAAAGCGAAACAAGAAAAGAAAAAAGAGTCTGTCGAAAAAGGCGACCCCGGGCACCGCGTGCCAACGCACCCCGTCGGGTACACTCTCCCGACTACCTTTACCTGAGAGTTAAAAGAGAACCACTTGGTGGCCACACCTCACGATTTCGAGCTTCTCTTTTAACGATTCGCGTGGGAAGAAGCCGGCGCGTGTTTGTCCTTCTCAACGACACGTTGCCAGTTGCGAGCCGCGCGTCTCCAGACCCACTGCAAAACGTCCTCACTGTGGGCACGTTTGCCAAAATCGGATTGCCCGTCACGCTGCTTGACCGATCGCAAGAGACAACACTTAGAGGGAAAGTGTCGAAGCGAAGGTACACAGCAAATGCGAGCGTAAAACGAGCAGGGGAGGGGAGAAGTCGGAAGAAAAATGAGGAAGGTGTGCCAGTTCCTTTCAGTGAATACAGTTTCAAAAGATAGAGAAGAGGAAGACACGATGTCTGACGGAGGAAGGAATGTGACTCCGCTAGAGGCGAAATAAACAATAACAGTAACAGAAGAATTGAAGAAGAGAAGAAACAAAAGTGCCGCTGACACAAGATAAACTTCTGGCAGCAAGCGAGTAATGGTAGTGTGTGTGTGCGTGTGTTCCCGACTCTTCCAGTGATGTGTTGGAATACACAAGCTTTTTCTTCTTTTCTCTTTATCGTCCTCGTATACGACGAAGAGCGTGTGAGCCCTTCACAAAACTGAAAGAAAAAGGCGACGCACGCAGCAGTGGGGTTGAAGCAATAAGGCAGGAGGGGGAAAGGGTACAAATCTGTATTCACGTGTTCGACACGTCGCTCACGTCAATGGCGGTGTTAACAGATTCTACGAAGGAAACGACGGAAGACAAAAATTTCATGTTGATGGAGAGACACGCACCAAGGGACAGAGAAGCATTTCAGGTGAGTGTGTGTGTAGAGAGGAGCGGGGGGAGGGGGGGGGGGGTGGGAGGTAGACGAGGTAGACGAGGTAGACGAGGGAGAAGAGGACATGGATGAAAAGTGGTCCTTTTCGTGGTTAAGAAGACAAGACATACACAAGCAGATCGCTCCTCATGCATTCAAAGCACCGCAGGTACACTGCAGCAGTACCCATGTGCATCGAAAGGATCCTCCACAGGCGTTTTTCGTATTTCAGCAGCCAAGGATCCACAACCCGGGGAAAGCTGTTGTCGACACGTGAACTGGCAAACACGCACAACTGGGCTCGTCGAGCCACCACAGAATGCGCTGTCCTGAACCTTTGCGATTCTGCCGTCAGTGAGTTTTCCTTTCTTAACTGCGAACTCTTCGGCAATTCGCATGGGAATTTAAAACACCAGGAGGCGAAACGAAAACAGAGAAGAAGAGAAGAGAAGGCGTCTGTGCTGCTCGGCAGCGGAGAGCGGCAACCTTACTGTTCGGAAGGCCGCAGCCTCCGCTTTCTACGTCTGCGTAGATCAGCACGTCGACGCGCGCACATGAGACGAAACACAAAAGAAGAGAACAACGAAGTTCTCCTCATCCCTCGCTAGCTGGCCCCGATAATCTCAGCCATCTTGAGAATGAGAGCCTCACTTAACGCCGGGTAGTGGCACCGCACCGTTATCAGCATCCCCTTTGTCTTCTCCACCACCTGTTCCTGCAGCAGCACCGCCACGTGTGTGCAGGACAGCTCCGACTTACGGCCGTGCAGCAGCCCATAAAGGGTCGCAGCGTCCTTGAAAACGTCGACGGCGACAAGACGCAGATGTGACATGCAGGCCCTCACACCCGTCGCGATCGCTGTCTTTGAGCACGGCACGAAGGCGCTCGCGATGGGCGTCGTGGCGAGCGCGTTGCCCACCACCTCCTCCAGGTACTGGGACGAGGTGGGCACCGCGAGCGGCGGGACGGGCTTCGTGAAGTACAGGTACTCAAGCGGGAGTGACACGACTGCCTCCTGCCGCTTTCGCTCGGCTGTCCAGGACAAGGTGAACAGGACCGGCGTTTCGGTGAACGAGGGCGGCAGCTGCGGGGCGAGGACTAGTTCCAGCGGCACGTCCACCGTTGCGGTCCCCCTCAGCTTCTCGGCAATGCGCAGCGACGTGCCGCCCTCCTTGCTGTCCGTCGCTCCTGCCTCTCCGTGCTTGCCGGCGTCCACCGCACGCAGCAGGACGCTGCCCTCCGCAAAACCGTCCGAGGGCGCCACGGTCATCTGCACATCGCGTACGGCGCTGCTGCTCGTTCTATTCGTACACACCGCGATGCAGCCAAGATGAATGCCGCCCCTGCGCAGCTTGCAGCTCGACAGCGTGAGGAGCAGCCGCAGCGGTGACTTGTCGTAAAGGGTCACCGCGGCCGCCTCCACAGCCTGTGCTGCTGCGAGCTGCTCCGCGCGAGAGTGGGCAGAGCCAAGTGCGCCGCCCCGCTGTTGCTGCTGCTGCAGGAGCTGCGCGTACGAGAGCGTTTGGGGCAGGCGTTCGTCTGCGCGGAGGGCCCGCGTCACGTCGATGCCGCGCAGCTTCCGCGTCGCCTCGTCCTCCTCCGGCGTGCGTGAACGTCGGGCGTTCGACGGATTCTTTTCGTGGTAGTTAGCCGGCTTCGACAGCTGGCGGTTAATGCTGTGCACCTTCTGCGGGCGCCTCGTGCGGGAATGCTGCTGCAACTGCTGCTGCGAGGGGGAGCTAGACGAGTCCGTCGCGAAGGAGTCATTGTGCCGTCCAATTTGCTTTGCGGAGCGCGACAGCGGCGAAGACCCGGCGGTGGCAGCGAAGTCGTCCATTTCAGACGCGGCCATATCGCCGGAGTCGCGGAGGTAGTAGGCGGACATCTCCTCTCTCCGCGCCTGCTCGGTGCGTCGCTGCTGCTCGATGCGGTACTCGAGGTTGTAGTTGAAGTCGTCCACGTCCAGCGCGGTGTCGCGCTGCTCGTCGTCGTCGTCGCTGCCGCTGAGGTCCATCAGCGCCGCGACGTTGTCGCAGAACGGGGCGTCGAGGTCGACGTCTGCTGGCACCTCGATCGAGTCCTGCGCCCCCGCCGCGACGGGCAGCAGCACCACCTCAAACAACTTTGGCCCGATCTCCGCGTGGGAGACGATCTGATAGTGGACGAGGTGCGCCCGCTCCAGCACGCTCGGGTAGGTGCTGTGGCAGAAGCGGCGCAGACCCCGGTGCTGCTGCTGCGCCGCCGTGTTCGCAATAGCGGTTCCTTTTTGTGAGTCTGCCGGACTGCTCCCCGGTGCGCCGTCTTCGTCCTTGTCCTCGGGGAGTAAGACGAGCCTCGTCAGCTCCTCCAGAGAGGGTGGCGGGTGCGGCTCCTCGTCCGCCCCGCGGCAGTCCTCCTCGCCATTGCACAACTCGAGGTGCCGCGCGCAGGGTTGGTAGACGTAGGCGGCCATCTTCCCCACCGCCACCACGCAGGCAAGCTGCACGTCGGCCGGCATCAACGTCATGGACTCGTCCAACAGACACCGGCACGTCTCCGTGATGTCCGGCACCCAGTGCGGGTACTCTCCACACACGAAAGCGGCCGCACACAGAATACGCCACTGCGTCGAGTGCACCCTGTCACAGCTGAGAAGCCGCACATCGCGCAGCAGCGGCGCCATCTCCTCCACCCCGGCCCTCCGCACTCCGTTCACGCGCGAGAGGATGCACACGAGCTCCTGCTCCATGAAGGCACCATGCGCGTAAGTCGTCAGCTCCACCACGCAGAGGTCCAGCAGCACACCCAAGTACCACTCAAAGTCTTGAATCCATTCGTAGTCGTTCGTCTGCGCTGTTTCGGTGATGGCGCAGATGACGGCGTTCGACCACGCCTCATCGGGCGGCGTGCGCACGCATCGGTCCAGCATGTGATTGACGTGCGACACGACCGTCTTGCGCGTTGTCAGTCCCTGCAGCACGCGCAGAGCTTTGAGGCGGATGGTGCTGTCAGGGTCGTCCAGGCAGGACAGCACTATTTCGCGTTGATCGGCGAGCAACTTGCGGTTCTCTGCGGACGCCGCCAGCAGCAGTGAGAACACCTCCAGCCCAAGGAACTTCAAATTTGGGTCGCTGTCCTCGACAAACCCCCGAATTTTCTCCACCGTCAGCGTCGTCAGCGAAGAGACGCGACTTAAGCCGTTAGCGACGGCTAGCAGGCACTCGTACTGCACAGACTGGGCGCTCGTCGTGTTGATCAGGTTTGTCATGGGCTCCACGAGCTTCTTGCCGAGTCGTGGCTCGAGCGGTGCAAAGTAGCCAAACACCTTCACAATCTTAATAAGAGTCCAGTTGCTGTGCACCGACGAGAGAAAAGAGTAGAAGGGGACCGCGAGGCCTAAAAAGTTGGCCGGGTTGCGACGCGCCAGTTCGCACAAGACGCACACGACGGCCCCGCGTACGGCGGGGTCCGTGTCGGACCTTTCACTGTTGTCTTCCAGCTTCTCCTTCAACTTGCCGTAGGTCAGTCGGAGCGACTCGGGGTAGCTGAGGAAGATGCGATACAAACTGAGCGTCGCCTTCTTGCGCACGTACGACCGTGGGTGGCTCAGCAGGTTCACCACATCCGCCACGACATCCTGCGCCATGTCGGCGGTGCAGATGGAGGCGATGCAGTAGAGCGCGAGGCCCACCTCGTATTGATTCCCGCTGCTAAGGTCGCGCTTCAGCGACGCGGTCATGAGTGGAATGACGTCGGTGTCCTCCGTGAAGGTGAGAGACGCCGCGAGGTAGGCGATGCGCTTGTGCAGAAACACCGGACTGGCCATCATCTCGACGACACGGAAGTTCGCGTACTGCGAGCTGTAGCCCAACATGTGGAAGTACGTCGCCTTCTGGATGGCCGCGATCTTCACGCGGGGGTCGGCGCCGTTGACTTCGTTTTTCGTCTCCGCGATGTACTTATCCATGGCCTCCTCCTCCGTGCCCGCTGGCGCACCGCGGAGGTTGCGCACCACCGCCGCCAAGGAGTTCTGCGAGAAGACCGCGAGCGACATTGTGAAGCGCTGCCGAGGCGCGTGAAAGGGCTAAATGAGAAAGGGAAACAACAAAACACAGCAATCCAGTAAAGCCGCAAAGCGCGGACCTCAGCCACACCTCTGATGCCCAAATGTGCGTTTGCAGCTACCGCTTATCAACGGTTGAGTTTCCTCGCGCAACTGTGGAGCAGTGCTGGCCACACACACACACACAGAGAGAGAGAGAGAGAGCACGGGTTGGTCGACGCGTACGCGGAGTGGCAGACACATTGAAATGAAGGAAAAGAGAAAGGTCATGACGGACAGATGAGGACAGTTTCATAGAGACGACACAGACGTCACGCAAAAGAGATAGAGCACGACAAATATTCCACCATCACGTGAAGGTGGGGAGCAGCACGGACCATCGCGCTCCTCACAACAGACCGAGCGATCTGCTACTCTGGTCGTAGCAGTACATAACTCGAAATTTGCATCTTTCTGATCTCTTTTTTTTTCTTTTGGAGGAGGGTGGAATGCGCACTCTTTCCCTCCGTTTTTTGCCAACAACATTCGTGTTTCCGGAGCACGAACACAAACTAGCGAAGCCGAAAAGCATCTATGAACGGCAGTGATACGTACGTGTGTTTATATACGTATTAATATATATATGTATTTGTGTGTACGTGGTAGCGATGAGCTGCACTACAGAGAGGCGCCGGTCACGGAGCCTGTCTTGGTTTGCTTGCTCAGCAGCTCCGCCTTCATCTCATCCAACTTGTTCCGCGCAGCTCGCACCGCCTCCATCGACTTACCCACAATCAGCAAATAAAGTGGCCGCTCTCCTTCCTTCATGCGACGCGAGTGCTTGTACCGGGGGTCAAAGTACACTCCTTTGCGCACCAGCGACGTCTCCGTCTCCTCGCCTACGGACTTCATGAAGGAGCCGCCCTGCAGTTTGCCCCGCACCACGTCTGGCAGGTCGTTGATCGGGTACTCGCTCTGGAAGCGCACCGCCGTCACGTCGTCCGCAGAGACGGTGGCCGCCGCCGTCGTCTTCTCCGCGAACTTGAGGGCCTTGGCGATGCGGTCTTCCTGCGCCGAGGAGAGCGTCAGTGCACTCGCGGTCGCGCCGCGGTGCAGCGTGAGCGCCATGGCGTTCCTCGCCGCCGCCTCTTCCGCCGCCACCTGCGACTGCGACTGCACCGGCACCGCGGTGATGTCCGCGTTCTCGTCGCTCTCCACGTCGGAGTCGTTGTCCGAGGAGGACGAGGAGCTGAGGAACTCCTCGTAGCCGGCGGCCCGGGCTGCCTCGCGCATCTGCTGCTTCTGACTGCGGTCGGTGAACCGCTGCGCCTTGGCGTCGCGGTAGCCGCGAAAGAAGCCGCTGTTGTACCGCGCCTCACCCGACTTGCGCAGCGTGCGCACACGCTCAGCCACTTCGTAGAGCTCCTCCGGGATGTGCTGCTCCGCCCGCTCCAGCCCCTCCACTAGCTCCGGTGCTATGTCGTCGTCCTTGCCGCGAGTGAATAAGCTCACGGCGCGGCCGCTGCGACCGGCGCGGCCGGTGCGTCCGATGCGGTGCACGTAGGCCTCGTAGTGGTTCGGTAGCCGGTAGTTGACGACGAGGCCGAGGTACGGAATGTCCAGCCCACGCTCTGCCACCGCGGTCGCAATCAGAATGAACTGCTTGCCCGGCGCAAAGTGCTCGAGCGCAAACTCGCGGTCAATCGGGTCCATGCCGCTGTACAGCGACGCCACGCGGTTTGCGTAGCCCAGCGTGGTGAGCTGTCCCACCAACTCGTCCACCTCCTCCTTGCGCTGCGTGAAGACGAGAATCAAGTTCTGGCCGTCACCGCCTTCCTCGCCGAGCAGCGCGAGCAGCCGCACCAGTCGCGGTGTCATCTCCGTCTTGTCCTTACTCGCATCGTACACCTCCTCGTCAAAGAAGAAGAACTGCTGCTCCACGTTGGATGCCGGAGTCGGCTTGCCGCCGACCGAGATGATGACGGGGTGGCGCAGGTGCTGCATGACAGAGTTGCGCAGCTCCTTCGGCATCGTGGCGCTGATCATCCCCACCACTCGATCGGGGCGGATGTTCTTCAGAAAAGCGGTGACGTGCTCCATGAAGCCGCTGTCAAAGAGGCGGTCAGCCTCGTCCACCACCACGAAAGAGACGCGTGACAGCGTCATCGTCTTGCCGCCGTTCACCGTGAGTAAATCAAGCAGACGACCCGGCGTCGCTACCATCAATTCGCAGCCCGCTTTGACGTGACGGATGTTATCCGAAAGAGGGGTGCTGCCGTACGAGGCGACGCATCGCAGACCGCAGGCGTCGCCCAACTCCTCCAGCAAGGTGAAGACCTGTACCGCCAACTCTTGCGTCGGCACCAGAACCAATCCTATCGGGCCCTTCCCTTTCTCACACCGCGGCTGGTCGGCGCAGTGACGAATGATGGGCAGCGCGTAACAGAGCGTCTTGCCAGAGCCTGTCTTGGCCGTAATCAGTAGATCACGCCCGCTCATCAGCGCCGGCGCACCGAGTGATTGCACCGCAAACGGGGCTTTGTACTCGTGCCGCTCCAACACCTCCAACACCTTGTCGGGCAGCCCCGTGCCGTGCCAGCTGCGCAGCGGTCGGGGGAGGTCCTGCCCCTGCACCTTCGCACCGTCCAGCTCACGCAACAGCACTCGCATCTCCTCCGGCGTCAGGTCCTTCATGTCCGGCGGCACCACGTAGAAGTCTTTGCGGATGGGAATGTATTGCATCTCGCTGTGGTTCACGTAGGTCAGCTGGCGCAGCTTCTTCGTGTCACCGGGGGCCGGTGGGGGGACCTTGCGAGACACAATCCTGGCGAGCACGTCCTCCGTTTCGTCCTCGGCGTTCACAACCGTAAGGGCGGACGACTCCGTCACCGGCTTCAGAAGTTCCGCGTTGAAGGCGACCAATGCGGTGACGGCGTTGCTCGCCGCCTTCGTGGCGCCGTTGCTGTTGCTGCTGCTGCTGCCACTATTCCTCAGAAAGGATGCGGCGGCCGACGCATCCGCTGAGGAGGTCGCGTGTGCCTTGGTGGTGGCCGCCGTGGCCTTCGCGTAGAGCAGCAGACGCATCGAGGCGTCCTCCGTGTCGCTGTCGTTGTCCGCAGACGACGACGCCGTGGCGCTGCTGAGAGACGATGCGTCGCCGAGAGGGTCGAAGGCGCTCGCTAAATCCCCGTCGCCGTCGCCGAGGCTGTCAATCGCGCCTGCATTTGTCACTGTGGGTGCCTCGTCTGATGCCTCCGCCGTCTTCGCACCGGTGCCGTCGCCGCGCGCACGTTTGGACATTGGGAGTATTAAGAAGGAGCAGGTATTAGATTAAGAAACTAAGAGATGACCGGAGGCAATGCTGATGAATGCTGTTACGGTCCACGACTTCTCGACCGTGTACGTGTGCACTCAACGCAAAAATTTGTCGCCTCGTGTGCTACCAAATACTGCAGAAGCGCTGCTGCGCCACTGGTGATTTGAATTAAGAGACAGAGATAATTCAGAACGAGCAGGGAGAGTCACACCGCAGGGTAAACTTGAATTGTGCGACTTGCGAGAGATGCACAATTCCGATGGATGACCCCTGAACAGTTCGTGGCAAACGAGAATCTAGAGCCAAGCCAAGCCAAGCCAAAAAAAACAACAGCAGAAAAAGACCCTGTTATACGGTACAGCGCAGGAAGCAGCGCATTGCTTTACACGAATAAATGGACGTTGAGGGAATACGCGGAACACTCCCTGTCCGGGGATGCAACGTCCTTTTCAGCAAAACGTGCGTTTCAGCCAGTTTGGTGTAATAGACAAAACCAACAATAATGGTAAAAAACGCATATAAAAGGTTTCTTTTTACTTGTAATTGCAAACGAACGTGGCACGCGTGGGTGTGCTGCGAAGTTGATGCTGGGGCGCCATCTCTAACGTGTACTTCAAAAAACGACGATGTGCCACGTCAAGCCGAGTCCACCTCGCCAAGCTGCTTCTTTGCGGCCACGTGGACACGGTGCTCCAGCGTGAAGAGCTTGTGGCTGCCGGTCATGGGAAGCGGAAACAGCAGCGCTTTCGGCTCTACGCAAATAAAGGAGTAGGGCGACTCTTCCTGCCGTTCTTCTGGTCGAAAGGAACCTTCGTAGGCCGCGCGGTCCATGCAATCCACCACGTACACGTAACCGATCAAAACCTTGGTGGGGTAGTGCCGCGGAAACACCTGGCCCGGCGCCATGAACTGGGAGTAGTGCGCCTCGACCTCCTCCACATTGATCGGCTGCGCCGAGGCGGCGTGGATCCACAGACGACCGCGGTAGTTCGTCCCCCACACCCGCCCTTCGTGCCGCTTGATGCCCGCCACCAGCAGACTGGCCCACGGCTGGTGCATGGAAAGGCACACGCCCTCGTCGGTGCTGCGCATGACTGCCGTAACGGCGAAACGTGCGCTGCGCTCCAAAGACGTCGGCTGCACGACAGGCGGGCTGGCCGAAGCCCCGCCAGCGCCAGCGCCGTCTTCCTCCTCTGCACCCTCCTCCTCGTCCTCCAACAGCGTTTGCGGCGCGAAGACCAGCTGGGCCCGCCCTGCCTCTCCCGCCACCTCTTCAAACACCTCCACGTCATCTTCGAAGTAGTCCTGCTGCACGCGCCGCGAGACCTCGTCAAAACGGCGCTGCGTGGGTCGCGAGGTCAGCGGCATCGACGCGCCATCCTGCGTTGGCAAGTTTGCGTCCGGGTGGCTGCGGTCGTCGCCGCCTTTCGTCTTCTGCGGCTTCGAGGCAGACTCGACGAGTGCGCCATCGGGGCTGTACCAAATCTTCTGCAAGAGCGACGGCAGCGGCTCCGCACCTGTGGGCACCGCGCCAACGCCATCCGCGACGTCCTCCTCCGCGGGTGCTGCCGCCTCCGTCGTCGCGTCGGCACCGCCAGCGTTTTCCTTCCGCGAGCCCAGCGGCAAGTTCTGCTTGACGAACTCCATGTGCACCTGATAGGCGCCCCGCTGTCGGTGCATCAACTCGATGTTGTGCTGCCGCTCCTTCTCAGCGGCGGACTTCTCGGCCGCCTTGCGTTCCTCCGGTGCCATCCACGCACTCTGCGGGGAGAAGAGCGTAGCAGACTGATCGTCGATGACAGTGGTTCGCTTTGCGCGGTTCTGCGCGTACTCGAGCAGCCGGTCACGCCGCTCCACCGCCTGCTCGTAGTCGGCGCGGTTGCTGCGCTGCGCCGCCTCGCTCAGCTTTCCCTCCTGTAGCGAGATTTCGTAGGCGATGCACCGCGACGGGTCCAGGCCGCAGGCGTAGCACATGTTGTCGGCCTCTTGCTCGCAGATGATGCGTCCGCAGTTGGCGCAGCTTCCGCGGAGGTTGTGCACCGTGGCGAAACACCCGCACTCGAAGCTGCCGGGCTTCAACGCCTCCGTCGCCGCGTTGGACTTTCGCAGCTCGTTGATGTTGACGCCCCTTTTGTTACGCTTTCGAGCGGTGCTGTTGCGCTTCGCGAGGTCCAAGGTGGCGCCAGATGATGCGGGGGCCTTGGCGGAGCTGGCAGGAGTACGAGTGACCGTTTCCCCCTCAAAGGCCGGCCCAAACTCCGCTCGTCGCTTAATCACCTCGGCTGAGAAGGCGTCGGACAGCATCAGCGTTTTCCCCCAGTCCAGCACCTCGGCCCGCGTTTTGACGTTCATGAGTTCGGTCGCCATGCCGGTCAGCTCCTCCTCTGGCAGCCCCAAGCAATTATTCTCACGAATCTCCCCACAAATGTACAGGAGTAATGCGGCAGTGTCCGAGCCGGTGCCGGCGGCGGCGCTGCTGCTGCTCGCCGGTTTCTGATTTGGCTTCGCCCATCGCTTTGGTGGCATTTTGACCGCAGAGAGAAATAAAAAGGAAGAGAAATCGCATGTGTGTTTGTGTGGAGAAGTGTGTGCGCCGTGCGGTGGCGTGGTACGACACAAGGCAACGGATCGATTATTCCCTCCCCGCACACCGAAGCTTTTGGCTCGCCCGGTTCACTCCGTCGAGAACTGCGGCGGGAAAGAGGGTGGAAGGAGTTGCACGTGCGCAGCGCTGTCGGACGAGATTTACAAAGTCAAATATGACGACGCACTAGCGCGGGACGGAAAGAAGAGAAACACACCGCAGCAGAAAAAGAACCGAAATGAAGAGTTTGAAACGAGCAAGAAGAGAAAGCGGTAAGTTTGCATTCACCGATTGCTTGCCAGTTCTCTAGAAACAGCCGAAGCCCTCATAAGCTATCCATTGAGATGTCACGCATGACATCCTGTGTGTGTGAAAGCAGGACGTGCGGTTGTACGTAGATGACATCTGTGGTAAGTCGATATGCTCAACACAATACTGTAAACTAAAATAACAGATATTTCTCGTTCCGTTTACATACGTTTTTGAATTGCACCGTTGTGACCTTCGTCTTGAGTCAGTTCAGCCAAGGGTAAACGCTTACGTTAGCGACACGGCCCACGCCACGTTATGGCGTTCATGGCTTCCCCTCTGTCCATTTCTCCAACATCCAGCACTCACACACACCCAATCCTGATGCTTCGAAGGATGTGTCAAAGCCTACAATTCAATCACTTCCGTGTTTGCAAAGTACGGGAGACGGAGCCCGTCTTCCCAGTTCACCTTGGCACGCGCAGCCTGCAGCATCTTGCCAATATCTCCGTGGCACACAAGCAGCACATGCTCCGCAGGGTGCTTCGCGTCCACATCGGCCAACACACCTTGTGCGCGTTCGTAGCACCTGTCAAACGTCTCGCAGCCCTCCGAGGAAAGAAAGTAAAGGATTTTGTCACCCTGCAGGACGTTGTCACCGGCGTACTTGGTGATGTCGGCGTACGGCTTACCCGACAAGATGCCAAAGTCGCGCTCGATCAGGTCATCTCGAACCTGAACGGGGACGCCGACCGCGGCGCCGATAGCGGTAGCTGTGGCAAAGGCCCGTTGCAGCGGGGACGAATAGATCGCGGTGTACGAGACACCGCTTTCTTGGATCTTCTTCGCCACGGCTGCTGCCTGCGAGCGGCCAAGCTCCGACAGAGGCTCATCGCGGTGGCCATTCAAAATACCATGGACGTTATCCATGTCCTGCCCATGGCGACACACGTGAACGTGCGCCATTATTCGGTCTGGAAGTGTCCGGTAACACACGCAAAAGGAAGGGGGAATGCGGCGAAGGCGTGCTGGAATGTTAACAGCAGCAGCGAGTCGAACACGCGGTCTTCACGAGTCACGCAATCGAAGAGCAAATGGGGGTGAAATGTAAAAGCAGAAGCATATGATGAGAAAACCCAGTCCTTTTGTGCGTGTGTGTGTGTGTGGCCCATGAGACAATGTAAGTACGCAATCCCCCACCACTACTCGTTGGCCGTTTCCCTCACACTTTAGATTTGCACATAAGCGCCTTCACCGCACTACAAGAAGAATCACAACTACGGCGGACGTGATGAAAGACGTGTGTTTTCCGCGCACGCCCAACTCCAGTTGGAGTCACAATTTATCTCTCTTTTCTTCTTTAACCACGCAGTGCGGCATCTCAGCGCGCTTTCCGCAGTACACAAATATCAGACAGACTCTTTGACTCTTCCTCAACGACACCAGCACGACCGATGAAGGTCCTCAACGGCACATTCAAAATCTAGAGCAGTTCTATACGAACGCAGCTATGTGAGAGAAACATGCATTCGGCGAAAGCTGCGCATGCGAGCCGCAAAACGTGTGCGAGACACCACGACAGAAAACCACGGCGAGAGCAAGCACGAGAACAACCGGAACACTACTTTGAGAGAATCAGAAGAAGAAGAACAGCGGGAAGAGAGAGCGAGATGTAGAAAGGTCGACGACTGAGATTTTGCTCGTATTGTTTGGAGCGTGTGCGGACCGATTTTTAACGGCACATGATGCAAAAATAGCCATTACTCATGCTCTCACAGCGGAGAGGAAAGCAAAGAAGAAGCCTTTCCCTTAGCAAATTCTGCCTTCAGGTGATCGGCGCACGTTGTTTAGTGCACCTTACATTCTCGTTGCCGTATCATAACTCTTCTTTCAGAAGCGGGGAGGATGGCGCAACTCTTATTTTTTATTCACGGCCCCAGCAGCGTTCCCTGCGGCACTCTGCAACGTTGATTTGCCCTCTTCTTTTGGCCACTCGAGTAGCATCGAGGCCGACAATGAGAACAGACGAAACGATGGACGACAACGGAAAGCATACCACCACAGAACCAAACAAAATGCAGAAAGAAAACGATGAAGTGACCGCTACCGAGGCCACACGCACACACTCTCTCTCTGGGAGAGAAAGAACAATAGAACGCCAAGCGAGTCCCACACCCTTGCTGCTTTCGTTCTCTTCGCCCCCTCCCCTCCACCCTTCCCCCACTGAGTCCGCTGGCAGAGGAGAGCAACGGCGATGATACGAGCACTAAATAAGAGTTGGAGACGTCACGGTGATACGGCAACATAAGATTTCGTGAAGAGAGACGAGGTCAAGCTGCGTACTGACTCGCCGTTTACGCAACAATTGTCTCTGTAAACGAGAGAGCAGTAGAAGACTGCCTTTTACATCCGATACAATCCAGATGCAGAGATGCACAGGGATCGAGAGCGCCTAAACAGCGGTGAGAGAACGCTCATCATGAGCACCTCTCTTCAGTAGTCGCTATCCGATTCAGTCGGATCCTCAGTCTCCACCGGAATGGGCTGCATCTTGGCACGTTCGCTAGGGTAGTACGTCGCCATGCGTGCAGCCCACTGGATTACGTTGACGTCGTCACCGAACAATTGGCGGAAAAGCTTCTCATCCTCTGCGCTCGGGGTGTAGCCGGACACGTACGGCTGCTTCGTGAGGCGGTCGTTGAGTTCCTTAATAGACGACATGAGGACAGCGATTGTAGTTCGAGGGGTTTCAACAACCTACCAGAAAAGAACGAGACAGTACTGGAAATGCGCTGCGCGGTGAAGCTATGGAGACCGCATTGAGATCCGTCGATGCAAAGACGCCACCCCGTTCACAAACACAGATCGCAATGCCGTAAAGGGAGATGAGAGAAAGAAAAGCCGACATTGAAATAGTACCAAGCGTCGAAGGAGCGAGCAGGTCCGCATAGAACGACATTTCATCTTCGACGCACACATCATTCTAGCTGAGACGCATGTGCTTAGCTCTACGGTCCTGTGCAATGGTGCAGACCATCCGCTGAAACAAACAAATATAATTAGCTCCAATACATCCATCGAAGGAGAAGAGTTGGGGCGAATGCTAGAGATCATCCCTTCGACCTATTGGCTATGCAGGGTGCTGGGCACCACACAGTCAATAAAACAAAAAAAAAAATAGTTTGTTCTGGCGTTAATGTGCATCGGCCATCTATGAAACGGTAAATGAAAGCAAGCAGCACACCCAGTACAATGCAAAGCACGTACAACAGAGATGTTAGAGAACAAAGAAGTGTAGATATACAGCTCGAAGTGAAACCAAACAAACAACAAGTGGATAACCCAATTTCGCGAGCGATACAGTAGATAGAATGCAGCGTGATATATATGTGCGAAAAGATTACGAGTCACGCATGCAGGAAGAAACCCGAAAAAAAAGACTGGAAAGAAAAGCGTACACATCTAACAGCGGTGACAGCGGAATCCGTGAAACCTGGGAGTAGAGAGCCGTGCATGTCTTTGCCTCTCGACCCTACGCAGACGTCTCCTGCCAGTACGCCCAATTGAAGAGAATATCAAGGCTGCTAGGATGGCCCTCACCGCAGAGCTCATCATTCACCTCCTTTGCGAGTGCCTCGGTGTCGAGTTGTAAGGGTTTCCGGTGTGGACTGAGGACACTGTTCAAGGTGGATGTGTACACCTCGTGGCCCAACACGGGGTTCACACAGAAGGGAATCAGCGGCGCAACATTGGATGCGAGAAAAAGGACGGCGTCGCCGATGTCGGTGAGGTGCCGCGCCTGTATGCAGAGGAGACGGATCCGCGCTAGAGACGTGGGCGGCATGAGCGCCGCCGCAGCATCAAATCGTTCCTGCAAACAGAGGAGCTGTGCCGACTTGCGGCGGTCAATTTCGTGTTCTTCATGCCCGCTCGATGCGGCTAGCGGTGCGCTGCTGCCAGATACCATCGCAGCGTCCTTTTCTGCAGCACACTCGTCAGCCGCCTTGGCGCTCGTCGTGCGACTCACCGGCAACGCGCGAGAAACTCCGCAGAAGGCGCGCTGCTCCTCGTCAAATGTGTGCAGGGTATCCGCCAGGCCACGTCGAGCGAGGTATGACCGCACCATTTGCGCCAATACCTCCTCCTCGTCTTCTCCGCGGTCTTGGATCACGGCCTCCTCGATCAAGACCCACATGGCCTTCTCTGTCAACTCCATTGGTTGATCTCTCTCAAACAAACTTTTCAGGAAAGGTAGAACACAGTTTGATTGCACAGCTTCGAAGCGCGCTACAACGAAGACGAAATGGGAGCAGCAAGAGAGGAGGTCGGAGGTAGCGAGGAGTTGCCCTTAACACACAAGCCGAACGTACAAGAGATACCCAACGAGAGCTCAATAGTACGGCACATTATTTTGATGTAGGGAAGAGCGCCTCTCTTCGACTAGCACACATACACATATCTTATAGCATCACAGGCCTCCGGGATGATAAAGTATAGACCCGCCGACCGTGTCTTTCAAGTGCAGCCGATGCTCACAAGACGAGTGAGCGCAGACGAAGCTCTTCTCGGCAACACGTTATCAAACAACACAGTATTTTTTTTACTACTATTCTACTTTCTTTTTTGTATAGCGTATTACTATCCGCAAAGCAACTGAGTCCACACAAGAAAACGGCACAAGTCGACGACTGCAGAAACGAAAAGAGAACATCAGCAACTGAAAAAGCCCGTCGGTGGGTAGATATATATATATATATTTTCCTTTTAAGCGTGCATCAGCAACAATTTACCACCCAGCAAAGTCGAGCGCGTGAATGGTATGAAACACTCGCAACGGTTTTTTTTGTTTTCGCATGCGCCAGCTTCCTCATTTCGTTGTGCCGGGATGTAAAACTGCACCTTTCGGGCTGCCGTTAACATACACAATTCAATCCTTCTTCGAAGAAAACGAACGCGAAAGAGAGCGGATCGAAGCAGCAAGCACGTATTACGCACTTCTACTTGGAACGTAATTGCACCGATTTGTAGAAGACAAGTATTGTTTTCATTGCAGCTTTTTCTTCCATACTCAACTCTCATTATCGTTGAAAAGAAGGACGTAATGAAGTAAAGGGTCTAATTACGCAATACAAGAGAGAAGAAAAGAAGCAATATGAAACGTACAGAACTTTTTTCAGAGACACCGAGTGCCTGCTGGGCGAAGAGAGAAAGGAGCGAAGAGCGTAAACTTCGATACGACACACACAGACGATGCCATTTGGTGTTTTCACAGAGGAAAAGAAACGCAACGACGGGAAGCACAAGAAAAACGAATGTTTCCGTCTCCATTCCTCGAACAGTAGCATGGAGAAGAGTAGATACCGCCCACACTCTTCTCCTTTGTGCGCAGCTCACCTTCAACGGCAACGCGAGAAGTTCGGTTTGCAGGCAATCAGTAGAATGATGATAATAACCACAACCACCACAGCGGCAATCATGAGCGTTAGCTTCAGATTTTTCAGGCACAAGTTGCGCTTCAGCTCGGTGGAGCGCTGCTGAAACTGCTGCGCCTGATCCGCGAGTGTGGATGACTTTTCCTGCAGCGTATCAATGCGGTCGCCGCGCGCTAGCACTTTATCCATGTTGTCCATCATAACGTCGACGACCTGATTGATGTCATCATTCAGCGCAGTGATCTTATCGTTCTGTGGGTTGTTGTAGAACTCCATCTTCTGCTGCAGCAGCTTCTTGCCGTTGCGCAGCTCTGCTCCCTGTGGACCGGCGCTGCCGCGCACCAGTGGTTCCACCGCCTCCAGAAATGCGTAGACCGTACGCATGCGCATGTCGCTCGTCGTCACGCAGGCGACAATTCGGCCCTCGCCGTTGCTGATGTAGTTGTAGTTGACACCGCCATCCTTGTCCTCGATCGTCTTGCGGCGGTACTCCCTCGGCGGCACCGTTGCGATGACCTTCTGCATCGTCTCGGCGAACTTCGGCTGCTCCCCTGCCGGGTATTCCGCGAGCAGCGTAGTCTCATCGTTCACACAGCTATACTTGATCGGCATTGTTTTCTCGGAAGTTCTTTAAATAGGCCTGTTGTACTCACGCGGAGTCTATTAAATGGGAAATTGCCTAAGCGTATAGAACTTGTTGTGCAGACGCGGTATATCTACAATTTGAACGCCAAAACGTATCTCTGTCGCAACCAGCTGAAGAAAAGCACTGTATAAAAACTCACTATCGCAGCAAGACGCAACGAAACAGTAAAGAAGAAGGGAAAAAAGAAGCTTTGTAATTTCGATTACAGGAGAGCGCGAGTGCAGCAGATTGCGCTTTTGAAATCGTTTTTGAAAGGCAGTTGGCAGGTCGAAAACAGAGTGAGGGAAAAGAAACAGGAGAGGAAGCCGTTTGATGGAAAGGCGGGAAAACAATACTTTACACGGCAGCGGCTTCACCGCGAGAAACCTCCAAGTGAACTTAAACAAAGCGATCTCCCTCGCATGTACTGGAAAAACATGCGATTGGAAGAAGGCATGCAGGTACCCCGTCGCTCCGCTTCAAACGACAGATCTGACACGCTTGCTTTTCTCTCTCGGTTGCCTATTCTTAGCTGCTGGCGTTCGATAACCACTCATGAGCTAGAAAGCAGAAATATAAAGGGTGACCACTTTCAAATTACAAATCTATGAACCGTAAACGAGCAATAGTGTCGCTTTAATTATTGTGTTGACATGAGCAGACGGAATTCTTCGGGACAGCTGAATATGACATCAAGTCATCCACTCCTTTGTGTTACGCTTCAAGCGCAAGGCGGATGTAAAGGTATTCTTGTCTTGTTGGTGTTGTTCAGTTGTTCTATGTTTGTTAGCAGATGGATCTCCCAGAGGACGAGCTCACAAGGTAGTGAAACGCTCGCGCAAGCGTTACGATTGGGTGGTACTTGGGTAATAGGCCGGTTGCAGAGCTTTGCTGTTCTCAACAACGCAGCAAACGTTGCTTGCAGAGTTGAAGGCGAGCGGTAGCGTTCACCGTGCGCAGCGGTAGCAGATGGTGACGCCGTTTTCATCTGCCGCCGAGCACCCGCGGCACACTTTACTCTCGCACATTCCGCACTCTTCTGCACAGCTACCGCACATTCGGCACGAGCACGAAGCACACTGCGCGGAGGCAACGACACCACACAGGACACACGCGTTCTCGTCCACCTTGCTCTTCTTGCCGTACTGCAACCAACAATTTTTGATGGACTGAGGTGAGGCGACGCTGCCCAGCGGGAACGGTCCAAAGGTTCGAGGAGGGAGAGGAAGCCCCACTAGTGATACAGACCACGACTGCAACTGTGTGTGGATGCATATGTGGGGGTGGTTTCTTTCGCAGTCGATGACCACGTCAAACGGGTAATGTTGACAAAAAACTTCTCGGAGCAGCTGCGCAACGCCGCCTGCGACTTCGTGCATGATGTGGCAAGGACAGCGGAAAGGTCCGTGCACCGGACACGGATGGTGGCGGGTGTAATGCCGTATGTACTCGTTCGCCGGGGAGTCATCGGGGAACTGCAGCACCACCGCCCCCGACTCCACCGACACTACTGAAGGATTATAAAAGAACGCTAAACTCAGAAACTCGGAAGTGTTGAAGCGGCCTTGCGTGTCCAGGACGTGACCGCGCAGCGACAACAAGGAGGAGAACGCGCCACAGATAGCGCGAACGCGAACATGCGGCGGAACGTGCCGCGAGTAAGACACGACGGCGTTTTCGTCCGTGTCGACGCGATGACGCTTGCGCGGCGCCGCAAGATCGTGCAAAGGGAGGGCGGCCTCCGTACGTTCTTCAAAAGAAAATCCGCTCATTCGCTTTCAATGGCTAATAGTAGTCTTCCAAATCTAAAGATGTTAACAAAGAAGAAAGGTCAAGCACTAAAAAGTATGAGACAAAACGCATTTGCCGGGAGCCTTGCCCTCGACTACGGGCACCGCACACCACACCGCAGAGAAGGTGCCGGATGAAATTGATTGCGCGGCCGATTCACCCCGCTTTGCGTACTAAAGACAACCATAGAACGAGGAGGAGAAGAGAAAGTGCACTTTTTCTTCAAAAAAAAAAAAGAAATATCAACAGACATAACGAAGATGGCAGAGACGCTATGTAGCGCTGCAGTAGTTTTTTCAACCTCCAGGCACACCGGTAACCGTCAAGAATGAAGCCACATATTTTGTGGAAGTTCTTGATGGCAGAAGCAACTCAGTTCGCGAAGCAGAAAGCTCAACTTCATGAAAATCCTTTCGGTCGTCGTCACTGTATCGTGGCAACGAAGGGCTTCAGTGGATTTCTGTTTCAATTTTTAAGCGACTCCGATTTCGGAGAGCACGACAGCCGTAGGACAAAAACAAAACAAGGAAGCGCACTGTAATAAAACAACATAGCGCAGACCCTGGGCTTTGTTGTGATCTGTTCCCTTCCGGCGTGAATCGGTAAGTGTCAGGAAGAACAAAAGAACTAGAAGACACATAAAGCTCTCCGACCATGCGGAGGCGTCTATTACCATTTTCTATGCGTAATGCTCTATGGGAATTGTATTCTGAAAAAAAAAGGCAAAACAAGGGTTTAAACGCGCGGCTAACGCTAATAGAAATCCATGGTCGCCAGCAACCACGCACACAAGTTTCTCAATAAACGAGATCTGAGCAAAACAAAAAAAAACGTTGACAACAACAATCGTAAGCAGAATAGAAACGTTAAATCTATGGAGATAAATTCTTTTCTCTTTCTTTTTTTTTTTTAGGCATGCAGCGAACAGTTGAGCACCAACGAAAGGTGAACACGATTCAGAAAAAACAATGTAGGATGCCTACCTTACGTAGCCTTCATTCCTCTTCCTCGCGCAATCGCTTGCGGTCTTCCACTGCAGCCTGCTTGAGAAGCTTGACGCCTTCTTCCTTGGAAATGGTCTGGATGCGGCTCATCTTGTTGTGGAAAAAGATACCAAGCACCTTGTCCGCAACGTCGAGGATTTCGGTCTTGAAGCTGGCCACGAGAAACTGGCAGTCATCTGACTGCCGCTCCATCAGCTTCGCGACCGCGGTGCGGTACTCGGCATCCAAGGCGGCGTCGATCTCGTCAAAAAGGTAAAACGGCGCAGGGTCGCAACGCTGGATGGCGAAGATGAGCGCCAACGCCACGAGAGACTTCTGACCTCCGCTTAATTGGTCGAGATTGCTGACAGGCGCACCGTGGCCGAAGGAGACGCGAATGCGCGCACCGGTGAACGGGTCGTCCCTCTTGTCGACAGACCCCGACGTCACGAGCTGCAGCGCTGCCGAGCAGCTTTCCGCGCCGACGAGCTGCTTGAAGACCTCTTCAAACTGATACTGCACCTGCTTGTATGTGCGCTCAATAGCTTCCTCCTTCTTCGCATCAAGGTGCTCAATTAATTCGTAGATGCTCTCCAGCTCTCGCGTCAAGGTTTCCTGCTGCGATTTGAGGTCCTTCATGGTTTCCTGCAGGACGGCGTGCTGATCAATCGCCTTGCGGTTGACGTGCGACAGTTTCTTCAGCTCCTCATTCACCATTTTAAGGTGGTACATGAGCTTTCCCAGCGACGCCTTTTCGTACTTCGCCACGCTTTGCGGCAAGACACCCAGCTGTCGGATCTTTTGCAGCGCTTCGTCGCGGCGCTGCACCAGCAGGCTGCGTTGCATCTGCGTCTTGTCCGCCACGTCTTTCCGCTCCTGCAGGTCGCGCGCAGCACCGAACCGTTTGGTGGACACCGTGTCAAGGTGCGCCTGCAGCTTTTCGCGCTCCCTTGTGCTCTGGTTGATTTCGTCGTCGATTTTGCGCAACCTCGCCAGCAGAAGGTCGCTCTCCGCCTTGACGGCCGCCTGTTCGCCACCCGCCGCACTGCTTGTGTGCTTCGACCAGTTGAGCTCGCGAAGACGGTCTTCGACCACCGCTTTGCGCCGTCCCACGTGACGCACCGTATCTTCCAAGAGCTGAATCTCGGTTGCCAGCTGCAGCACTTCCACCTGCATCGCCGAGGAGGCCACGCGCGCAGAAGCGATGCCCTCTGTGAGCTTCTCCAGCTCGCTCTCCTCCTGGGGCGTCCACGAGCTCTTGAAGTCCTCTTTCAGTTCTTTTTTTAAATCCCGCACAGACGCCGTGGCTGAGGCCACTGAGCTCTCCACAGCCTTCTTCGTCGCCACAAGGTTTGATTTCAAGGTGGCGAGGCGCGCCTTGCGGTCCTCAATCAAGCGCGACTCACGTAAACGGACATCGGCTTCCATTTCAGTGGTCACGTTTTGACTGCGAAGTGCCTCGATCTCATTCAGTACCTCTGTTATCTGCTGCTCCACCGTTGCGACCTCTTGGCATAAGCTGTCGAGCTTTGCACGCCCTGCTCGCAGCTTACCCCCAACGTCTTTTTCCCGTTCACGGATAGGCAGCTTCATGTTCTGCTTGTCGATGAAACCGCCAGTGATACCACCTCTGCGGCCAAGCTGGTCGCCATCAATGGTGATGACGTCGCACTGGAGCTCCTTCACCACCTCCGTTGCTGCCTCAAGCGAAGCGACCACGGCTGTGCGGCCAAAAACCTCCGCCACCACGCCGCCAAACCGCTCATCATAACTCACTTTTGACAAAAGCGGCGAGCATTCCGGCGTTGACATGATGTCACGGGGTTTTCCTTTGCACGTGTCCATTGGGAAGAAGGAAATGCGACCAGGCTTACGGCGTTTATTCATTTCCGCGAGCAGAGTTGTGCTGACGTCAAAAGAGTCCACGACAACGTTGAACAGCGTATTCCCGGCAGTAATCTCAACCGCTGTCTTGTAGCCTTCCTCCACGCGAATCAGATCGATGAGTGGCCCGTGGACGGCAGCGGAAATGTTTGCGTTTCGCATGTCGAGCAGTATTTCTTGCAGCGACTGCAGGCCTTGACGAATATCGTGGCGCACCGCGCGCTCCCACTGATGCTTCGTGTTGCGAGCAACTTCGTCCAGGCGCTGCACCACGCTCTCCTGCTCATGCACGCACTGCCAAATTCGCCGACGCTCTTGGTTGAGCTGATCACGCTTCAGCAAAGCGCTCTTAATCTTTTTCTCATGTTCCTGCAGGCTCTGATCCACGTTTGTGGTGGAAAGTTGCGGCATGGACATTTGAGACTGAAGATCCGCAGATTCCTTTTCGATGCGGGCCATTTCCTGCGATACCGAGATGAGCTCCTTCTGAGACTTGGCGATCAAACTCTGGTTCTTCTCGATCTCTTCGGTCAGCCACCTGTCACGGTCGCTTTTGTTTTTGAAGAGTTTTGAGCGGTTTCGTCTCTCCTGCAACCGTTCAAGGACCTTTCGCTGCGTCTCCACCTCGTCAAACTTTTCTTTCGCCGTTCCTTCCTTTGCTTGGAAAAGAGAGCGTTTTTTTTCCAAATCAGCTGTCGAATCCCGCAGTGTTTTATCCAGCTGCTGCGACTCTTTTTGCAGATGCTCGCACTCACGATTGTTGCGCGCTGTCCTGCCTGCAGCATCGGTGGCATCCAGGTCCGCAATCGCCTGTTTGCTCGTCAACGCACTGAGATCATTCTCTATGGTGTTTTTTTCCGCCTCGAGACGCGTAATCTGCGTCGAAACTTCCACAACCTTCTGCGAAAGTTGCGCAATCTCTTGCTCCGAGGCTTCCTCGGTATCGTACGTCTTGCTGAAAGCCAGCGACTTTTTACTCCAATCGTCCTCCAATTTTTGCAAACTCTCCTTTGCGTTCTCCAGCTCGGTGTTGAAAATGCAGTACTCAATGCATCTCTTTTCACGATCTGCGTCTTGAAACCGCTTCAGCTCGCTCGTCTCCGCATCCAGTTCCTTCAGCCGCTCTGCCAAATCATTGATCGAATCGGAAATCTGAGTCTGCTTTAGTTTTGTGTCGGCAAGAATTTTCTCGCTTTCGCTGCGTCGCGCCTCGTACACTTTGGTACCAGCCACGTCCTTGATGAGTTGATACCGGTCTTCCTCACTCATATTGACCAGACTCACGATCTTGCCTTGCTCCACCACGTAATACGGGTTGCTGGAGGAAAAACCCGCGCTTTCCAGAAGCTGGTGGACGTCAGAGGCAGAAAACTTGCGGTCGTTTACACGAAATTCATCCTGTTTCAAGCCGACTGTGCGACGGATACGCACCTCTGGCTCCTCGGACCGACCTGGAATCACGAGACGGCCGTCCGAGTTGTCGAACACGATTTCGACGAAAATGGAAAGAGCAGGACGGCCGCTTCCAACGTGGAAGAGTTCTTTGCGTTCCGCAGCGCGCAAATTGACAAACTTTTCATTCAGCACAAATTGAATAGCAGCAAAAAAGTTCGACTTGCCAGAGCCGTTTTTTCCAACAATCACATTCGTTTTGGGAGACAAGCCATCTGGGAACGACTGTTCCCGGTAGGACCGGAAACCGGAGATGATAATGTTCTTGATAAACATCGGACTTCAATTGTTGTTGTCGTCGCGTGAACCTAGCGGTCAGACAGAGTACCACCCAAAAAGCAGCTCTTACGATCCAATGACTTTTCGTCTCAGGATCGACAGAACAGAGGTTTAGGAATAATCGAGATAGAGTACGGAGAGAAGAGGGCAAGAAAAAGGCAAATTGTATTCGCAGCTGAATTTGAGAGCGAGATGAAACACGAAACTTGCTTTGTTACCATAAAAACGCGACAGAACACGGGAAAACAAAGCAATCAAGTTGTAAACGGTTTATGGGGTAAAAAGGAGAAGGTAACGTAGCCGAGAACGTTGACAGTTACAGTCTTTCACCTTTTTTTTAAAGTGCGGTTTCTCTTTTTTTTTAATCTCCATATCTGCCGTGGAAGCACTTGGTGAACAAAATCTCACTGCCTGTTGCATAGAAGATAATATCTCATGATAAAAACGGTGAACAGAAAAGAAAGGAGAAAATGCTCTTCAGTCATTCATCGAGCGATAGAGAAGCCATAAAAAGCAGTTAAATAGTTTTTATTCCTGTTTTCATAGCACCGGTAAAATAGTCAAGGAGCAACTGCCGTCACAGAATCCCATAGAGAAGTGGGGAAAAGCTCGCCGCTATTGAACAACATACACACATCCGTCCATGTCAGCTTTCTCTGCTTCAAACATCCGCAAAGTCAATGTTATTCGTTATTTGGTTTTCAAATGTGGCACTTCTTTCGCGCTCTCTAGCCACACAACTCCAACGGCAAACCAAGTACATCAAGTCGGGAGCGAATTGTGTGGGAAAGAAAAACGAAGGTGCACGCATCGACACTCGCGCTTCAAGTGTTGAAGCAAGCGCGTAACAAAATACTTGCACCACTGCAGAGACTGCGCGGAGTGCAGATAAAGTCTCTTGCAATTATGCCACGAGTTTGCCATTCACACACCTTCACTGACCAGTTTCTTGATCCGAAAGCACTACAATAGCTCCCCAAAAGGGGAAAGAAAAGCACGACTCGCAATTACGTCGGTACGGCCCGTTAATGCGAAAGCTGTCAAAGCTGTCTACAACTTGCAACGTTGCGACCAAGTAAGAACAATTCTTGCTGTTTAAAATCGTTAGATTAATGAACGCTGAACAGTCAAAAAATAGCAAAACCAAATTCGCAGCAGCGCCCAATAATAAAACCGTTTGCTACCGAAACTGGTAAGAAAAGACGCAGCGCCACAAAACGTGAGTGTAACACGAAATACATTCATCCGCAGCTGAAGCTAACGAATTTCAGCTAGCCATGACAAACAAAATTTTTGTGAGATGCGGCCAAAAGCATTTTTCGTCACTCAACGCAGCAGAAACCATCAGGTTGACGCCGATGTTGACTTTTCCTCAAGCGGTTTTGATGATGCTTAGTCCAGCATGAAGCTGAAAAATAGTATTCACCTCCTCTTTGAAAAATAGACTCATTTGTTAGCTACTTTCCAATTCCGCCGTTTGCTCTGGTTCTGAAAACGAAGTCCACCGTATCATGGTTACGGTGACTTGTCTAGTAAATCTTTTGTTTCTCATCGTTTTACCCGACGATTCCATTCGTTAGAGTGACATGCTTCAATGATACCAGGAAAATTAAGATTCACGAATCAACGTTCACAACAGCACAGTTCCATGGACATAGCCAACACGAACAGTGCATAAAATCGGATACATTGCTCGTGACAGCATTTCGGTTGCAATGTCAACTGTTGCAGAGAAAAAAATCAACAAAACGAGATGTCAAATTATGCACCATCAACAACTGGTACTTTGCGTAGAAGTAGTATCATGTGACGCAAATCAGATCCTCGCCAATAGTCAACGACCAAGTGAAGCCACAAACCACTATGCAGCTTTGCGCTCAGTTTCAGTGACAGTGTCCCAGAGCCGTTTCGTAGACCCACAACCCTGGCCTCTTTCACAAGTTGGATGATTCACGTCTCACAAAGAAGACATTCTTCGCGCCAGTAATAGGAAGCAGCACATGAATATTACACAGGTGGACTTGGACGGGAGTTCCTCGAGAGGCAGATAACGATTTGTTGAGCCACTTGCAATGTTCCAAGGAGAAGATTAGAAACCAGCACCTGTGGAAAAAAAAGCATAATAACGCACACGCGAAATAGACTCTGCAACTCAAGTCAACACGCGGAAGAGTTGATGAGGAATGGCTTCGCGTTACGAAAACCCTAAAGGTGATACTTCATCGATGCATAGACCTAGAATACAAGACACTAAAGTCCCCGTCACTGGGTAAAAACAACTACGCAACTTTCAAGGAACCCCAAAAGAATTTATAGTCCTTGATCCTTGTCGAGAGGAAGTAGCGGACGCCTCGATAGCATAGAACGTCGAGTGACAAAAAACAGTCATCCAACAAACCAACCACGTACGGATCGTAACAGACTCAGCACTGGCAAACACAACGCAGAACTTTAGTGTCAAGACCACCTAGAAAACAGTGCAAGTTCCGATACACCCGTTGGTGAGAACGTCGTATCGCAACCTATCTCAGGAACGAACATACTTGTGAGAAAGTCAAGTTCCGTTGTTTGTCCGTGAGGAACGTGTCATTCGCAGAACGAACGCCAATTAAGGAAGGAGAGCGATGTTACTTTTCAAAGCGGTCATTAATTCGTTGTCCTTCGTGGCTCAGGAACATTTTCAAGACGTACTCGCAAGTTAAGGCGATCAAACAATCCCTGTGCTTTCGTCATTTCCAAGACAAAAGGTGCATGTCACGGTCCAATTCGCATTCCAAAACCAACCTCCTGATGTGAGCGGTGAGGAGGGGGGGGGGGAATTGGATAAACTACGTTAGTGGGGCCTGCGGCTCTCGAACTTAAAGGAGGGAGCGGCTAGAAAAATGTGAGAATGTAGCGGGGAGGAAGCCATAACAGCAGCCAGGGCAACTCCCGGCTCGGGTGGTGACGTGGCGCAACGTCATCGGCACATCGGGCGACACCCTGCGTCACCAACCGCAAGCGGCATGGGTACGCACACCTGCCTGCGAACACTTCCACGGCGCAAATCTGCCGATCCCTCTTCGCGCGGGATCAGCTGCTCTTCTCCTTCACCATGTCGCTCAAGATCTACGATGTGGACCCGACGCTGTTGCGCTGGGTGCTGATGGGCGGCTTCGAGGAGGAAGACCACCACGCCGTGCCGAACCCTTTCACGTGGCTGCCGGAGTTGATCTGGATGCTGTTCCGCCGCGCGGCGACGCAGTTGGACGGCTTCGCTCACGTGACGGAGCTGGTGCAGCAGCATGCGATGTTCTTCATGGACTTCTACGAGTCTTCGAACCCGCTAGAGCTGGAGCTGCCCGGTGTGCTGAACGACATGTCGAGCATAGAGAAGCTGGTCGTGGTACGATGTCTGCGCATGGACAAAGTGGTGCCAGCCATCCGCAACTACGTCAGCGAGACGCTTGGCGAGTACTTTGTCGAGCCGCCGCTCTACGCGTTGGAGACGGTGGTGGACGAGCTCTCCTACGACCCTTCGGTGCCAATTATCCTCGTGCTCTCGCCCGGCGCAGACCCGCATGCGGAGCTGGACCGTGTCGCAGAGCTGCGAGGCATGGCGCAAAGCAAGCTGTTCAAGCTCTCGCGCGGCCAGGGCCAAGACGTGCCTGCCTGTGAGATGATGGATACCGGGACGAAGGAAGGACATTGGGTGTTTTTGCAAAACTGCCACCTCTACGCCGACTTCATGCCGCGTCTGTCGCGCATGATCGAGGACTACAGCGATGCGGCGGCCAAGGAGCGGCTGCACCGCAACTACCGCCTGTGGCTGACGTCGCTGCCCAGTGACGTTTTCCCGTTTGCCATTTTGCAGAACGGCGTGAAACTGGTGCAGGAGCCGCCGAAAGGACTCAAGAGCAACCTGCTGCAGTCCTACCTGTCCGACCCGGTCGCGGATGCGGAGTTCTTCAACGGCGCCGACATGCCCGAGGCGTGGCAGAAGCTTCTTTTTGGCCTCAATTCTGTTTAGATAGTTCACGGCAATATGCAGAGGAGACGAGCAGGGGTGAAGAAGGGGTATGAAAGGGAGCTGACTCTTGCCGGGAGTTTCTTGAGAGACAGGCGGCCGCCACCACGATAGCGGAGGTGAACGGAGAACCAGCGCGACAGAGAGGCATGACACAGTGAGGGCTGCGACAGTTGCGGCGATGTCTGTGCCATATGTGGTGGTGGTCGACTCGAGGGGCTGGCCACGCCGAACACAACACGGCCCTCTGCACGGCATGAGAGCCGGACACTTTACTGAGCGAACAGGCAGGCGAGCAACGTGTACAGGGGGTAATGGTCCATCTGTGGGCCGTTACCTTGCTGGAGACGTGTGACGATGGCGATTCCCACGGCTTAGGGGTAGCCGCTCTGGGAGTGCTGCGAGTGCGGCCCAAGCTGGGAAATCTGCCGCTGTGCACCGTGCGGGGGACGCTGACACTGCTCCGTCTGGTGCGTGTGTGTGGCCTGCCGGTGAGTGGCTGCGTGTGGTGTATGGCTGGACGGGTGTGCTGTGGGGTGGGCGTGCTATAGAGGGCTCTCTGCTGCTGAGTGTGTGGTGCTGCAAGAGACGGAGGGGGCAACATAGCGTGTGTACATGGTGGTGTGGCGTGCGCAACCTGCCGTCTTGTGCTGTGTGCGTTGGTGTTGGGGCTGCCGTGGTGTGGGGGGTTAGGGTTAGGGTTAGGGTTGCATTACCGAGGCCGAAGGCCGAGGTCATTGAATGGCACAAGCCTTTATGTATATGTGTGTGGATCCCCTTCATTGAGTATATGTCGAGAGACCTGTGATATGGCACGGCCGCGCGGAGCGTGTTGACCCGCATGCGCATGTGTGCACTAGCGAGGTGGCTGCGAGCTCGTTCTTCCGGTGGTGTGATCCACCCCTGTTCAGATGTTGCGGTTGTGATTCTTCCCTCTGCTGACTGC